CCGAGGATGCCGTGTATGTTTGACGTACTGTGCTGTCTCGGTCCTGGCGCTCCGTGGACACCACTCTCGACCCTGGGTCCGACCACCGATCGTGGACTCTGTTCAACCGCTTGCCGTTGGTGGTTAGTCTTACTTCTGTCGGGTTGGTGCAGGCAACGTGTTACTCCGATACCTTGGTTCTGCCCTGCTCTGAGCTTTCATCACGTTTGGATCCATTTGTGGTCAGACCAGGTCGGTTGACAATTATGTCGAGATTCCCCAATGCGATCTTCTCAAGCCTTTGCCATAGTGTTTGCCGATTCCACGGTGCTTTTGTATCTGAATGACATCGCGTCGAGTACCTCTAACCAGTCCCCATCGTGTTCAACTAATCAAACTCCGTCGTACTCGATATTCTTCACCAAGGTTTATCGGCGTTATTCATTGCTGCGTGAACTTCGCCGACTTCGCGACAATTCGTTCAACAAAACTTTCTTCTACTATTGTCCTTTCGTATACGTCAACCGAGCATATGGTTGATCCAAAAATGTTGATGTCGTCAACGTAGACTGTTGGTTCAATCGCTTTTCGGATGATAGAATATGCATCCGTCCAGTCCCAACGTTATCCATCCGTGATCACAAGCTAGGGTCTTAGTTTTTTGTATCGTTAGCAAGGTGATTGTTTGAGCCCGTAGAGTGCCTTGCGCAGCCGCAGCACCTTTCCTGGCTGAGGAAAGCCTTGTAGAGGATAGACACAGATCTCTTCCTTAATTTCAACGTTGGGAAAAGTGAAATCAGAGCAAAAAAGAAGAAAAAGAAAAACAGCAGATAGGAAGACATCTTGCCAACCCGGAGTATGGCTTTCCAAGTTGTACCCCTGGGCCTGCTGGAAATCGCCGGCCACCATGCGGACTTTGTACTTAACCATCTCGCCGCCATGTCTCAGCTCCCTTTTAAGCATCTCCCCCTAGTTATTAGGGCCTTCCGATCCCTCGGCAGCTCAGCAATTTCGTGGTCCTATTCTCGATGGGTTGTGGTATTCTTGCTTCATTGTTGCCGCTATTGGTCCGCATCTAGAAGCTGCATGGTGCATGTGTAGATCTCATGATCTAGTATAGATGCGATGTCTATTGTTCTCCTCGTTGAAGCTTGCAAGGCAAGCCCTTAAAAAGTACTTCACTGTTTCTCATGACCCCCCTGGAAGACATAGTGGCTGTTCTCAACACTGTATCTGCTGTATGGGTTGCTTAGTCGGAGGGACAAGTCCCGAGCGCCTGGAAACACGGGTACACCTTATCCCGCAACTTGTTCTGTGTACCCGCGAGGCTCGTTGGAGTTTTAGTGGATTTACGGGCAGGTAGAACCCGTCCTCGTTCTGTTGAATCAACCGGCATCTCCTTCTTGACTGTCGGCGCCGGTGACATTTGTTAGTCCCAGGATCCTTATCGCAGCATAGATTGTGGTGGAAACAAGCATCAGCACCTCTCATCGGTTGTTCGGGGCTTTGGTATTTCGTTTTGATTCGTCTCTCTTAGGCTTAAGTGATTGTTCCCTTAGCGCGGCATTGGGCCTTTTTGACTGTCGTACGTCCGTTATAACGGTATTATCGTAGTCTTGCGGTCATCTCGTCCTATGGTTATCTACTGCTACAATTAGCTAGCGCTACGGTTATCTTACATTTTCGTGATCTTAAACTCTTGCTACGGTTAGTTCCTGCTATGGAAAGTCACGTGTTAGCGATTGGGGCTGGCCGACGAGTGGAAAGTGTTTGTAAATGTGGTCAAACGGTGGTTGATAACTTGATGGCAAAGTTCTGACCGCCGAGCAGTCTGCTTACTCAGCATGCACATCCCTCGCTCTACCGTACTACCATAGCCACGCGTACTGCCCGTTTCCTCTAGAATGGTCAGTATAGCAATTCGTCAATTGTTTACTTCCCTTATATACCATTATGCCTATGACTTCCGCTTATACCACTACTGCTATTAACCTTTTCCTCAAGGACTCTACCTTACTAGATAATAGCTAAATAGATATAAGTATTCTTCTAATAAGATTACCTACCTTAAATTAATATATATATAACCTTTTAGTTTAGCTTATATATTCTGTTTCTTGTATTTTATATATTATTTCAATTTATTTCTTACTTAATATTTCTTATTTTTAACTTTATTATCTAGTTTCTTAAAAAAAGAAAGAAAGAATAAATAAAGCCTTTAATAGAGTACTATATATTCTAAAGAATAAGATAGTTCTTAAGATATTAGTATTTAGTAATAATGATTTTAACTATAGGTACTAATAGAATACTATATCTATTTAAAATAGTAAAAAGGCTATTAATAGATATACTTATAATATTCTAGTAGTATACTAAGTATATCTAGGATTAGTATACTACTAAGATATTATCTAGAGTCTTTAATAAATTAGTCTTTCTTATCTATCTATTATTATAAAGTCTTATTCTAAAGTATATTAATCTTATTTAGGGTTTTTTCTTTATTAATTCCTATTTTACTAGTTTACTAGAATCTTATATTTTAATCTACTAGTAATACTTATATTTCTATCTATAATAAATAGAATTATAAGTTTATATTAATTAGTAATAAAGGTCTATTATCTTATAAGGCTATTTTTAAGCTATGTTCTTATCTTACTAATTTGTAAAAAGGTAATATTAGTAATAGTAATAAAACTAAGAAGCCTATTATTAATAACCTTTTTCTATTTAGCCTATTAAGCTTTATTAACTTAGTAGTTACTAGAAGCCTTATTTATAAGAAGATATATCTCTAGAGGTTTTTCTAGATACTAAAAATAAGTATAAAGATAAAATTAATACTAAACTTTAAGTTATATTAATATCTAGTAAATTTAATAGAAAGTATAGTCTAATTTCTAGATATTCTTAGCCTAAGCTATATAGATAGTATAAGCTACTTTATTATTATTATTATAAGCCTTAATAATATAGAAATATAGTATTACTAAACTACTATTATATATAACTTAATACTTACTATAACTTTCTATCTATTAAATAACTAGGCCTATCTTAATAGTTCTAATAGAAATAGTACTTAGTCTATTTATAAGGCTATCTTATCTCTAGCTTCTTACTAGAATATTTGTATCAAGTCTATCTAAAACTATATCAACTTGTATAAGAAAACACTACTATTTCTAGATCGATTATAACTATATAGGCTTGAGATCATGTAGTTAAGACCATATATAAACATATCGGCACTGCATTGGTGTCCATCCTATGTAAGGCTTACAAGAGAGGGTACTTCTGTATACAGATCGATCTTAACTACGTGGGCTCGGGATAATGCACTTGGGGTTCTTTGCAAACACATTAGTGCTGCATGAGTATCCACCCTATGGAGCATCGATGGCGAGAACCTTTGCAGGACTCAGTTGGCCTAAATCGAATTGCTCTCAAAGTATCACTGCTTGGCTTCCTCTGCCTATCTCTTCTGCTTCTGATCGCGCTCCGCTCCTTCCACAGATACTCCTATGTGCTTTCCAGTCTTCCACTTACGCCTCCATCTACTCACACACATTGCTCTCTCTCCAATCGCCTCCATAATTACACTCTTCTTGTGCACGTTAGTACCTCTTCCTCACTTGCATTTCCCTCGACTCGCACACATTGCTCTCTCTCTCTCTCTCCAACCACCTTTGCAATCACATTCTTCCTGTGCACGTCGCTCACCTCTTCCTCACTTACACTTCCCGCTACAGACTGCACCATGGAAAGAACTCAGAAGAAAGCGAAGCGTCTTCGCGAGAGTCGTGCCGCGCAATTGCAGGCCGCAATTCTCTCAGCGTAAGTCATCTCTCACATAAGTCTTCGTGTTTTACTCTGCAACCTGCTCACATGAACAGTGATGGTGCATCCCAAGCAACTCAAGCAGCCCAAGCAGCCCAAGCAGCCCAAGCAGCGGCTCAGGCAGCTCAATCCGCTCACTCCACTCGAACCGCTCAGACTGCTCAATCTGCTGCGCCTGCTTCCCTCGCTGTTCGCGCTGCTCAAGCAGCTCTCGGGAACGCTGCAATCGCTCTGAGACCTGCCAGTCATCCTGTTATCGAAGCCGATTCTTCTGCGATTTCCGCCGGTGCCACTGCATGTTCAGCTAGTGCTACTGGAGGTCCGACCTTCTCTACTCTCGTTGTAGTCGAAACAGCGCCGATACAACCTGGTACTTCTCTTCCAGTCGCCGGTACCTCTTCTACTTACGGGTATCCTACTGGTCCAATCGCCTTTCCCGCTCTTCCTAGGCCCTCGGATCCTTTACGCCCTCGATATGCAACCAATGATTACGTTGATGGAAATCCCCGAAGATATCTTCATGGTCAAACTCCTGGATCTGGAATCACCTTCGAGACCAACGCTTTAGGTCTTTCGGCATTTCGGAAAATCATTAAACACTATGCCGCACACATGCATAGACAGGATTACCCACTTGCTGCACAATCGGCACCCTTCAAAAGTGGAGTAACAGCAAGATCGTTCCCGGTCTCCTGGTCTCCTGGACAACAAGCAATACGCCCACAAGATCTTCGTCGAGCTCCAACTGTTTTTCGAAGAGAAAGTACCTCTACTAAGCATGATACCATCTCTCCAACTAAGAAGCTACAGCTTCTATCAAGGTCAAAAGCAGCAACTGGTGCTGATCTCGATGCGCTAGCTCCAGAGGGCAAGGTCTACGTGTGTCCTGAGCCTATATGCCAACAAAATTTCCATAAAGAATGTACTAGAGGTGACGTTCTAGAACATCTTGCTTGCCACGCTCATACAGACTTCTCATACCATAAAAACGAGAATGTATGTCCGTTCTGGTGTCAAAAGGGTTTCTACGATCTTGATCTCTTAAAGCAACATCTCCGTGCAAGACAGTGTATTTTTGCTAGAGAGTTCGATGATCTCTCCTCTGATCTTGAAAACAGTGTCGAGGCAGATGACAACCACAATCTTCCAGACACCTCCGAATTTGCATGTTATCCATGTAATAAGGGCTTCGATACCTTACGGGAGTTGTTCCTCCATGTATTTGGCGGCATATGCTACTTCCTCGATGATCCTTGCACCAATACTGCAATCCCTAGCAAGGATGATAATCTGCGCCTGCCAGTGCTGGTAAAGAGACGTTTACCCAAAAGAGCTATATTCATATACAGGCATAGCTCAGCCGCACCGAAGGATGATCACAAAGCTGATTCCGACTCCAACCCCCATGCAGCGGAGACTCTCGAAGTCGCAGAGGATCTTTTCGCGAAAGGTTTGTTCGAGGAAGACACAGAACTTGTCACAGTCTGCGGCTCTCGTGCAAAAAGCCACAAGTTGCCGACCGTCTATGAAAACGTTGAGCTCGAGACATTTTTTGCTCAACACGATTGGGTTTTCAAGAACGAGCGGATCGATGGTGATGCAACAAGTGATCAGCGTCGAGAATCTTTGTCGACAGAAAGATTCTCCTTTGCTGTGTTGAACGAGATCAGAGACGCTGTCGATAACGCCCGTGAACCGATTGTAGTTCTTGTTGGCCTTGACGCATGGTCAGTAAATTGGGAGAGACTTGATCATTTCCTGAGGACATATCAGGTATTCTATGGTCCTCTAAGCATGATCATCAAGGAGCCAAAGACCAACGAGGTATACACAGCAAGAGCGCAGATATGCAAGGAGAGAGGCGGTCTTCCAAGAAGCGCGCATGTCTACGCAACCTTCCACAGCTTGAGATACATCGGGCATAACGCGCAAGTCTATCAAGATCCGATCATTGGAGCTTGGCGTACATATATGGCAGGCAAACGAGCTGAGGTGAATAGGAGTTCGGGATACAGACAACAACATGGAGCAAAGAGACAGCGTAGATCCAGTGCAAGGAGACACGCGAGACAAGAAGGCAATGACGATGACGGTGAGGATGAGGATGAGGATAATAGTCATGGTGATACAGATGATGATGAGGACTTTGTGGATGCAGAGCAGTAAAAGGGGAGCGAGAAGACGTGTATATTATTTGCTTACATTGCAATACCAACTCTTAACGACGACTATCAATGATTGGGTGTAAAGAGTTCACGACTATATCCTTGGAAACCATGATTGATGCATCATTCCCTTTGACGAAGGCTTTGACGCTGAGCTGACAGTTATGATGTCAAACTGCATGGAATCCTTGGCCACGAACGACCCTTAGCGAATTCTTCGGTGTTTGACTTCAATAATCTCTTCCTCCAAATACTGTATGTTTCGCTATGTGCTTGAAAAATCAACTAGTATGGGTCGAGAGTCTCTCCGTCACGGGCGTCTCCGTAAGGTAAGTCCTTCGAAACGGAGCATGCTCGCTCTCACGATATTACGACTTTGGTGTATGAAAAGAGGGTAGGTGTATAGCAGACTTTACGGTCAACATATAAAACCATTATTCGAGCCTCCCCTTTCAATTCACACTCATCGATTCCAATACTAGGACTGGCTAACACCAGAAGGAGATGCATGGACGACTACGGTCAACATATAGTCTTGAGACTCCTCGGTTTTCGACGAGTGAAGCGTGAAGAGATTCAGAGGCGAGTTTTCATTTTCAATCGCTGCATAACCTCCATACGAGAAACAACTTCACCATTCTCTTTCCTAGCATTTCTCCCAATCACATCTACACCGAGACTGCCCTTCACACGTTCCAGTGGTCTATACAGATATATCAGAGAGTCTGCGCAGGCCGGCGCACCGCAACAGGAACTGTAAGTGAGCAAGATCAAGTTCCGTTCTTGCGACTTTGGCTCTGATTCATTTCTCTCGCAGTCACTCTATGTGATAGGACTCTTCTCGTTTGAAAGAATTGTTCCCACGACAGCGCCGGCCACTCTCCTCGTCTACAAGAACTTCCCCCACGACGGCGCCGACCACTCTCCTCGAACTCCTCGATCGCAATCTTTCGGCATGAGCAGGTCTCCATCAGCCGAGAACGGCAGCGCAGCGCTTGTTGAATCGCCGTACGAGAATCATACACCCACGATCTTTGAAAGTGAAGGAGTGCAGAGCAGACAGGAACACATGACGCCCGCTCAAGTGCTACCATTAGGAGTCATGCCACAATGGTCAACCACGGAGATGAAAGACTTCGAGCATTTCGAAGATGTTCTTATGCGCGCCGGAGTTTGGGATATCGCGATGGAAGATTGTGAAACCATCGCAGAAAGGGAAGGAGTGCATGACGGCGCCGGACACGTTCTATACAGCATTTACCGTGCATGGAATCTCTCCACGCAAAAGACTCAGAGTTTTGCGATTTCGTGGACTAGCGAGAAGCTAAGCAGAGACATGGGTCAAACCAAGCAAGAGCCGGAACACGCCGAGGAAATTCAACAGGAAAAGGACGCATCCGATGACGAAAACGATCTTGATCACAATACGGACTTCGACTCCTACGCAACCCAAATGCTTATGGAAAACCCCGATCTCATTTATCCTTTGAATGCGCCCTTGATGATGCGCCCACATGAATCAGCCGTCCAAGTCAAATCTCTGTTGGCTTTAGAAGACAGCCTTCGACAAAAAGGACGCAAGAATCTCACAGTCCCGGCAGATATGCATGAGCCACTCGCACGCATCGAAGATCTACCAGAATGGTCACGTAAGGATATGCCAAGCTATGTCAGCTTTCAAAAGAATCTTCATGACCAAGACCTCTATTACACCGCTCAATTGGATGCTGCTTGTTTGAGGCCAGCCGGCTATCAAGGGAATGAGCAAGGAATCTTGCAAGGTATCTGGAAAATGTGGGACCCTGCAACCAAAGAAACACAGCAGTGGATTCGCAGGTGGCAGAGGCTCTATGCGGAAGCCTCAGAATATTATGGCACACAAGAAACCACATCTCAAGAAGAAGAAGAAGAAGTTACTGCCTTCGACGAGGGACTGATTGAACCGGAGAACACTGTCGACCTGGACCTATCACAAGTGGCCAAGCCCAACATCGTCACATTCGACGGATTGGAGGATATGGCCGAAGTCGACCTTGGAGGCGGTCTTGTCGTTAAGGTACCGCTCAATGAAGACGGTCAGGTTGAAGGCGCAGACCAATTTCACCGCAACCATCGAACTCTTCCGAGCGAGATCTCCGACATTGTTAAGGCTATTTACGACGCTCCTCGAAACAATCTCAAGATGCCCAAGAAGACTTGGCTGGCCGAAAATTATCCTCAGCATTTCGAACAAAGAGGAAATGTGGCTCACGACTCCATTCTACGAGATTATACTCTGGCTGAGATGGGTCTGCGCCCGGAAATCTGGGACTATCTAAACACTACATCGGTACATCACGATGACACCGCCAAAAACCTCGCTGTGGCCAGAAGTGACGGACAACCCAAGTTACGCCGGCCTCGCGAGAGCGAACAGACACGCGCAGGAAATTCTGATCGCAACAAGAGAGGAACTTTTGGCAGTAACAAGAGAGCAAAGAAAGGCGAAGAACATCTCGATCCCATTCCCGATAAGGGTGCAACTCTTATTCGCAAGATCGGAATCCTGTACGCTCTTAAGCAAGGAAGACTGACCAAGGAGGATCTGGCGATGCAAAGAGTTGGAGTCGCTTGGAGATCGCTTCATGAGGCGGCATGTGCCATCATCCAGCGTCAAGTGGAACAAGATGCTTACTGCGAAAATCTGCGAGAAAAGGCTGCAGACTACATCAAGCACTGGCGCAACATCTCCAAGGAATATCGCGATGCGGCCTTGAAACTTCAGGCACAACTTAATGTGGCAAAGAAAGTGCTCAGAGAGGCTGGCATCCCGCTGCCAGATGAGCTCCTCGAGCCAGTTGAAGTCAATAAGAAGTTTCGCAGATACAAGCCTGCAAAACCAGATCGCCGCTCGAAGGAATGGCGAGAACAACAAAAGGAAGTAATGAACTTGCCGATGCCTACACCCACGCTGTCGAAGAGAAAGCGCGACAACACCGCGATCGTCGTCTCCGATGACGATCAGGAGGCCCCGCCTACAAAGAAAACGAAGCAGAAGACAACCGCATCAAAGCGCGCCCCGAAGACAAAAGGCTCGACCCAGGAAATCAAGGAGAGAGGCAAGAGGAGAAGCAAGAAGGTCGTGTCTGACGATGACGAAGACGAGGAAGAGCATTCGAGAATTCTCACCAGACGTAAGAGACCTGAAGACATGGTCACCAAGCCTCGTCAACGCACCGGAGATGAGAACGTTGCATAAGCTAAGTCGATGCGTGGAGATTTCTTTTGGTACCTTTTTGACACCTTTTCCTTTCATTTTGCTTTAACGAATGACGATACCATATCATAACAGAATCATAAGGCTGATATACTTTATCCCTCAAGCATCTCTTTTTGTTCTATCTCAAGACCTTATAGATTATTACAAAACTGACAACGAGAACCAAGAAGACATCCTGGATGAGGTTACTACTTGCTATCTTACAGCTCGCGGATCACGAGCTTATTTGTTGTGCAATCTAATTCCATTTGAAGCTTGCGAAGTTGACAAAGAAACAGATTTGATCGTCAGACATGCCCATATCACCAAAGCATACGACAACACAACAAGGCCGGAAGACGCCTTACGCATCTTTCTAGCTGCACTTGTGGCCTACAAACGCCGCAATGGCTTGGCCAACCCTATCACAGGAAGAGATCCTCGCCCTGACAAGCAACGATCCAGATTCAAGGATTTGCCCACCGATTTTCAATTCGACTTAATGAATGAACTTTCGAAGAATTCTGCGGCCCAGAATCCTTGTGACAGACCAAGGAAATTCCTGAAGGTTGTCGCATATCACATGCAGAAGAAGCAAGAGAAAAGAGCAGCTGAAGAGCGAGCTCGCCTTGAGGCGAGAGGAACCAGGGAGTCGCCTTTGTTCGTAGACGAAGACAATGAGGAATGAACTCAACACACCATGCACTCAAGATTGGATGATTGAGGAGACCCTAAGCAAACAGCAATACCAACCATGAACGACCACACCCGTTACGATCTGGAGATATCAGTCAGCTACGAATGACGAAACTCCAAGCTCAGGCCCACGACAACATTTGGATCATCACAAGCGATGCACAAACATTATAAGAGGCCCGGCAAGGGCTCTATGAGCATAATCATCTTCTGAATCTTCACATATTTCCAAATCTTTCCGACCAAAAACATCTAGCCTCTGTATCAAGACATCGCCGCATGAGACAAGAGCCCTTCCAAATATCAAAGAAAAAGGCAGAAAAAAGTTGAAAAGAAGAGAAGAAAGAAAAGAAAAAGGAAAACACGAAGGTTCTATCAAGGCAGCTGTTATACAGCCTTACGAGTTACGACACTTTTACGACAAAATGTTCCTTTTCCGATCTCTAATCTCAATACTCTGCCCATAAAGCATTGAAGTCAAAGGACAAATATGACCAGAGATCGGAACAAGGGTTTACTACCTGACCGCATGCAGGTTAATCCATTAGCAAGCTCCACAGTCATATTTATCAAAACATCCATTACCCTGGACGAACAGTCTGCTAGCAACGCACCCGTGATATAGATTGATGTCTAGACCATCACGATTGATGAACAAACATTTGCAAGGAGCTGCGCAAAAGCTATGTGATCACATGCATCTTCTTGTTTTGACCAGATTTTGCCATGATTCGTAGCCATAATGTCAAACTTTGTATAGCGACGAGGAATCAAGGAAAGGACTAGCAGTTACAGCAGGACTGGCATGATATACATTCCTATGGAAAGAGTGCTTGTCAGGACGACAAACCTCACACGTTTCGGGGAGTCAAAGGAACGAGTGGAGACCTGCAAACATTACTTTTGTATTGATATGAGAACAGGATCCTGATGACAAGACATTACTATGAATCACGCCGGCAGCCGCTATACACTTTGGCAGCTATGCATTCACAATGTACAATCTTTTTGTTCCGGAGTATTGACTTTTCGAGAACGTATGCCGGTTAATGATGTGATCGTGGGTTGCGGGTGCCGAAAGACAATCAGCACATCCCGCGCAACAAGGCAAGTGCTCTTTTGTTCGCCTCATGCTCGCGTAACCAGTTTCCTAATGACAACACCTGATTATTCCTGGCAAGGAGTCCGCACTGTGACACTTCTCATATTTCTCACATGTGAATCAGCTCGCTTATTATACCACTAAGCGAGTTGCTTCCCACGAAAAAAGATGTATGCCTGGTTGAGGACTCGGCTGGAAGTATGGAGTATCATACAGATGGGATTCTGGACATGCAAGCCTGTTTGAGATCTTGCCCGAGTCCTCATGCGGGCCATCGACGTGTTGCGTGGCCGACGGGTATTCGAAGCTTTCCTTGGAGATTCTAGCTGTAGTCATTCTCCCGATCGACAGATTCTTGTTGCTCAGTTGCGAGCTCGTATGACTGCATAGTCTATTCGTGGGCCGATGGTTGAGACGATGAGAGGAAAGATTTGTTGCATGGAGATCCGAGGGCAGTCTTTCTCCGGGCAGCAACGAAGAGTTTGTAGTGCCTCTTGAGGATGGCGAAGTGATCAGATGGGCGAGGCCAGGACTTTGTTTTTTGACTCTTCTCTGGCACCAAAGAGCTGTCTCCTGACAAACTCGACATAACCGACTCTTCTTCCTCTAGCGACACTGAGAGCATCCTGCATGAGACCAAAGACAAGACCAAACTTCAAGCCCATAGTAGCAGTCCTCGCGGCAGTCTGAACAGGGAAGCGATTCCAGGCGCTGAAGCCACCAGCAGTGCCCATAGCAGCAATGACAGTGCTCATAAAGTCCCTCTGTACCCAGACGCCTCTTTCGTTGTGCAAATGTTCCAGTCCCAGTGCTTGCTCGGCCGGAGTCTCGTAGACATCATCACCGAATAATCTTCTATGTCTTTCTTCTCTTCTTCGTTCTTTGAAGCCGACCAGATTTCTTACGACGGCACCTCTGAATCTGTCAACGGCCTCCTCGAAGACGAAGAAAATGGCAGTCCAGAAAGAGAGACGTGCGCCCATGCGGAAGCCTTCTTTAATGCCACCCAGCATGATGTGGTAGTTTTTTGATTTGTGGTAGAGGTACCAGCCGACCTGCGAGGTGGGAAGACGATGGGCATTCTCGGCGCGGAAACGGAGACCAGAAAGTTGACCGCCATGGGTGAGACCGAGACCAAAACCGGCAAAGGAGGCGAGGACGGTGGTGAGAGGTAGTCGCCAATTGAAGGGGATGCTTAGGCGGTCATTGGGCGGTGGACGAGTCGACTCCGGAGTAGCTATCGTGGGCTCCTCTGGGATTGTAGGAGTTGGCACTGCCGCGTTGAAAGCGGCCTCCTTCTCTGCCGACATGATTGCTGGAATGTGGTATGACCGAAATGGGAGCAGAAAGTTACAGCTCTGGGCGGTGGAATTGAAGATTCGCGTAAACTTTCCCAGCCTGCGAGGCCAAACGCGAGCTCTTGAATGCGCCTTCCATTTGTTGCTCATTCCTTCCTTCTTGCTTTTACTCACAACACACTCGAATTACTTGCCACTTTCCAACTCTATTATCACCATCGTCTTCTCGTACCGAATCATACCCATCACAATCTGCGCAACCACAAAATGCCCGTCTACGATCCCACGCCCGATGTCTGGACCATCAAGTTCAAGAACGCCCGCACAACCGTCGTCCTCTACGTCTACCAACTCCAAAACCTCTCAAGCATAAAAGCAGAGCTCCTACACGCTCTCAAGACCGCATACCCTTCAGGTCAACTCAACGGCGCAACACTACCTGAATCACCAGACGACATTGAATTCGCCAAACCTCGCGACCCTTCAAATCCCGGTACTTCAGGATGGCAAAGCATTGAGGCAGATGCTCCAGTAGAGGACTTTGATGCCGATCTATTCGGAGGCGGAGATGTTACACCCAAGGCCAAAGGAAAAGGCAAGGGAAAGGCAAAGAGTGCGGGTCACAAGGATGGTCTCTTGGGTGCTGGCTTGAAGGACAATGGCATTGTTGCTTTCAGGTTCAAGGGTCAGAAGACTGTCTCGAGACCTGTGGGTGATGATGTTGACGAGGGTCTGGGTCTGGATCTGGAAGATGAGGTTGCGCCTGATGCTGATGGTTGGAACGTCGAGTTGCCCAAGTTTGAGGATGTCTATGGCTTGAACGACTTGGTGCCTGATGATCAGCTTACCACGCCCAAGGCTGATAAGTTTGCTTGGGCTGCTTGAGTTGTCGGTGTCTGATGACGAACACCCTTCCAACCTTCAGAGCTTTACCTATCGACATAGCCGCCATTTGCGACACGACGAAGATGCTCTACATCCGTGGGACGACATTAAAACAGAAGATGCCTCTATTCAGGATGACGACCCACCTACATCGATGGCCTTTGCTTAGCAGGTCAACGCCACCACAGCAAATCAACAGATGCGTTAGGTGCTAGAGACTGAGATCAGATGGTCACGCGACTAGACAGCAGCAACCAGGGAGGTCTGTTATCTGAAGGCTACAGAGGCACTATTAGCTAGAGCTACAAGCTCATAAACATTAACAGGCTAGACTAGCTCCCCACGAGCATCTAGCTAATGAGACATGAACAGACCAAAAAGACATACTCTACCAAAATCAGTTGATCGTCAAACCATGTCAATCTTCCGACAACATGTCTTTCAAAATCCAATCTCTACCATTCCTCATCACTTTCAGACCCTTCTATTTCAGATGCCACAGTATCATGTACTTCAAAATCGTGTTTGGTTCAAAAATGTATTCGACTTCCTATTCGGGTATACACAGCCGAAGTGACTTTTGTTGCGGATCAGCAACCACTATCCTCATATCATTGGAATTTAGGCAAGGGCAATAGCCTCAATCTCGACGGGAACACCCTTGGGAAGCTCCTTGACGGCAACACAGCTGCGAGCAGGCTTGTGCGAAAAGTACTTTTCGTACATGCCGTTCATCTCTGCAAAGTCCTTCATGTCGGTCAGGAAGACGGTGGTCTGTTTTGATTACCAGTATTAGCATTCATTCATGGGATGGAGTTTCCAATCTTGTGTCATGATTGTGGATTGGTTGGTAGGATATTGATTATTGACAAGTTGATCTTTCATGGTAGAATGGAAGGGCAGAGAAAGAGAGGGTAGGAGATAAGATAGGAACTCACCTTGATGACCTTGTCGATGCTGCTGCCAGCCTCCTCGAGAATGGCCTTCATGCCTTCACATGATGCCTTTGTCTTGTCGGCGATGCTGCCCTCGACCAGGTTGCCGTTCTTGTCGGCGGGAATTTGGCCAGACACGAAGATGTGGTTGCCGACTTGGACTGCTTGGCTCTGTTGATGATAGCGTTAGTTGGAAGGTAGTTCCTAGTCATAGTTGTTGTGGGAATTGGATCTCTTCGTGCTGGTTTTGTGGTCTGCAAGTCAACAGGGATGGTGATTGAGGTGCAAAGCAACGAGTAGACCAGCCTGAGCAGAGGATATGTGTGAGATAGATGTCACGTACGTAAGGGCCAACAGCTGTTCACATCAATCAGTCAACCAATCCCAAATCATAGCATAGCTGTCAAACACTCACGAGCCATAGAGTTAGTAGTAAAGATCTTCTTCATTTCCGACATGTTGACGTGTGATGTGTGATAGAAAGACTTTAATGTCGAAGGCTTGGAGAGATAAGTAGATACAAGAGGGAGATGAATTGGTCTGAAAGTTGTCAAGAGAGAACGACGTAGAAGAAGCATGTCGTTGTTCTGGGCACTTCGGGTTTGTATGCACGGTTTTGGGTCTGAGCTCCGCTTTGCTGTGCTGAAGGAGGGGTCTTTTGGTGGGGCAATCTGTTCCGATCTCGGGATTGCTTGCTCTTGGAGATACGATACTCCGTAGCATAAGTTGAAACTGTTTCTAGTAATGTTTTGGGTGTCACATTGAAAGCAATTGAAAGCCGAGCAGCTGAAGGGAGATGAATTGTGTGTTATGCAAATGTTTTTGTTGTATGACTCCATATATAAAGCTGTTTTGGGTATCGAGAATGTTTCTTCACAATGCGCGACTGACCAGCCCGAAGCAGTTTACCTACCTAAGTTCCCAGATCCGAAATGATGACAGAAAGTAAAGAGATTGCTTTTATTTTCAACTTCTCTTCCTCTATGGCTGCTTGCTGGCAGCAGCACCACCGGCATCTTGCACGCTCTTGACATCCTCGGCAGACTCCTTGGTCTGGCCAAGGGGCAGCTCCTTCTCACGGCTCTCGGCGTCCTGACCGCTGAGCAGAGTAACGACGGGAGCATTGAGCTTGTCTCTTCCGTGCAAGAACTCGAGCTCCATGAGGAAGAGGTAGCCCATGATGTCACCACCAATCTTCTTGACAAGGTTTCCAGCAGCCATTGCGGAGCCGCCTGCAATTGTGTTAGTCTGCAATCAAGGTATAGAAGTCAGGAGCAGAAGAACATACCAGTGGCCATGATGTCGTCAACAACAAGGACAGTCTGACCCTTGGCGATAGCGTCGCTCTGGATCTGGAAAAAGTCGGTGCCGTACTCCTTCTCGTAGCCCTCAGTCTCGAGCTTGCCGGGAAGCTTGCCCTGCTTTCTGACGGGAACGAAACCAGCATCAAGACGAAGAGCAAGCGAAGGACCAAACAAGAAACCGCGCGACTCGAGACCAACAATGACGTCGGGGGTCTTGTCGAACTTTGCGCGAACCTCGAGCTCGAGAGCCTTGACGAGGTCTGCGTGGAGCTTTGGCGAGGAGAAGATGGGCATAATGTCCTCGAAGAGAATGCCCTTGGAGGGGAAGTCGGGGTATTGTCGCAGAGCATTTCTCAGTCTTACTTTAAGATCGGAGAGTTCGGCGGGACCGGAGGAAGAGGAGGAGGGCTCGCTTCCTTTGGCGCCATGAGGGTTCAGCTTGGGGTGAGGTGCCGTGGTGGTGGGGTCGGGCTTGGTCGAGGGAGGATGCGAAGCAGTAGATGCGCGGTCGACGTTCTGAGTGCTGGGGCCCTGGTTCTCAGGGTGGCCGTGAGGCGGGTGTGAATCGTAGGAGACGGGCTTTGCTGACATGGTGGGCGAGGGGCAGGGAGCAGTTAAAAAGGCACTTGGTACAGGCGGCGGTGAGTAAGAGTGGGAAAAGTCGTGATAGATGCAATTGAACGATTATGCACGCACCATGCACACTCCAAAATTTCATGCACCATCCCGCCCGCCTTCCCGCAACCTCCCCCGAAAGCCTCCAGCTTTAGCCGCCCATAAAACACCATGATAGCCACCGCCCTCCCGACGAATCGTTCTTCTGTCACTTTTGCTGTTGCAGCTTGTTCAATGCTGGACGATACTCCTTCTCGCACCATCTGCACCCTCTCAAGCAGTGCATTCGGTATCTGATTCTCCACCACCCAACGTGGCTTGCAGTAGTCGTCAACCCCTCCATCATCCATGTGAATCCTCACTCCACTCCGACTCGCTCAAACATCTTCAACAATCCCTCCCAACAAGTGCGACCTACCATGCTCCGCCCAGCCACTCACGCGTCCAAGCATATCGTCTCACTCGACCATCGGGAGATAATGTGATATTGTTCATGTCTCGTTCTTTGTTCATCTCCGTGCTATTCCATCGTCTCGGTTATCATCATTTCTCTGCCTTGCAGATCATTTACTTTCTCATCACATTATCTGTTTTCGTTTTCGTACTCATTTACTTTGATCAGGGATACATTTCTGCAAGACATTTGTGATGAGTTTCGAATGATACTGCTTTATTGTTGCATGATTGGTCATACGTCCCACGTCGTGTCCCCGCCGTCTGTGATGCTACTGCTGCTGCGACCATCATGAGTCGCCTATCTCTCGTATCTCCGGTCTTTGTGTCGACCCGGTACTCTACATGATACCAGACCACCACAAAGTCCCTTCCGTGTAGAAGACTTACACGTTCCCTGTACTTTCTACCGGATATGTGATACAGCAATCGAACGATACCAATTTAGATCTGTCCAGCACATCGTGATCATCACGATCCTCGGTTCTGGAACCCTTGCCGTGTATCCCTAAACGCATTGGAGAGCGACTCCACAAGACATTACTACACTTGCTGTTGTACGATGTGTACATCGCAGCAAGGCCATTTGCCAAAATCGTCGTTATCTTTGATGCCTCAATTCGCTATATCAGGTAACCCATTGAATGATGGTCGAACATGGCGATAACAAGTGGTTTGAGAAGAATGACAAACTTTGGGCATTATCTAAAGTAACCATAGAACATGGTATATAAAAAACAGAGGAGTAAAAATTCCAAAGATGCGCTGGATGCTGAAACAAATGCTTATCATGAAGAAACGCCATGGCTATGCATAAAAAGATGTTAAAAGAAGATGAAAAAAATTCAAAGATAGCAAGGTAGGATCTTCTTTACTCATGCTTCTTCGATGCAGCTTGAGAGGAATCAATTCTCTCGCGTGATACCAGATCTGCAAATCCGCCATCAAAGACGGGGCTGAATTTGATACAAGATTGCTGGTCTCCGAGGCTCAACGTCTGTGTAGGAGCCAACGAGAGTGGACTCACAGGCATCTCTTCGACCTCGAGTCTCTTCGCAGCGGTCTCAGCAGTGCTTCTGAATTGGCCAGAGCTCATAACGTGGAAGAACATCTGGCTATCGCGGAACTCTTCCGAGTGAGCGGGTGGACAGAGGAAAGCAGAGGTAGCAGAATTGGCTGAAGGAGCCATACTGGGTCGTCGTCGTACTTCGCCGGCACCAACACGTTGCAAAGTTTGTGCCGTCGCTGTGGTGGCTTCGCTGAAGTCCACGGACCGGAAACGAGTATGTGCGAGGGTTGCACGGCGAGATACCGGGAAGTCAACATCTGATTCTTCAGGGATTGAGATGATGGTGCCCCGGCGAGAATTCGAGTATTTGCTGGCGGCGATGGCTTCAGGGTCGCGACAACGAATGAGACTGAAGAAGTCAAAGTCGCTCCCTGTGGCTGAGGGTAGGAAAGTTGGTGATGGGGATGTAAGGAGGCCGCAGATCCTGGGTACGGAGAGAGAGCTACGAGGAGTATTGGTCCTTGTCATTGTCGTGGGGGAGTTGACACCAGACGTAGATGTTGAAGAAGAGAATCTGCTGTTTGGCAGTTCCATCTCGCTTCCTGTGTTTTGAGATAGAGTCTCTGGATCTCTTCCCTTGACCAGGTCAAGGAAACCCAAATCGACTGCCGATGGTAGGTAAGTTGGTGAAGGCGAACTGAGGACTCCTCCCATACATGGCAACTCCAGGGAAGTCCTTCGGCTTAGAGCCACTGTGTCCAGGGGTGCCGGTCTGTGTTTTCTCTTGAACTTTGGAGGCGGGGTAGCTGGAATTTCTGACAGTGGTGTTGGGGTGTCATCCACTTCCACTGTGAACATTCTCGGTCGCTCAGCTATGACTGGAGTTGGGGGCATCTCGTAGTCGCTGACACTGCATACTTCAATATGAGGGAAGTTCTGAGTGTTGAGACTGTTGAACTGCCCCACAGTCTTTTCACCGATCTTAGGGGAATGATGTCTGGGAGAGTGAGGTCTGGGCGATCCATGGTGCAAAGATTTTGCGATGGCTGCAGACGTGACAAACGTAGACTTGGCCTTGTCGAGGAAAGACGCAATGAGAGGTCTCAAGCTAGTCAAGCATGCTGCAATGGTCCCGACATATACTTCGAGAGCTCCCCAGACGAAGTAGCTGTTGTAATATAGACGATCGCGATCTTCGAAGTAAGTCCATAGATGGTATGTCTTGATCGCACCGCAGATTACTGCCGCGAGTCCCATGCCAAAAGCGAGAAACAGGCAGATCTTGGTGCGAACATTGAGTTGCATTCCGTGAATGATTGGAACTGGAACCAGAGCCAAGAAAGCATCTGTAAGCATTCCGAGAACTGTAGAATGTTAGCTTGTGTGGTGCAGATTCGCGCGTTGATACATACTACTATATGCCATGGCTAGACCTCGAAATGTCTCGAGAGAAATACAATTGCCTTTTCTGCCATTCCAAGCATCTGAGACAGGGAAGCAGCTGAAGAGAGTGGTGAAGAAGGAGACAGTCGTATATACAGTCATGAAGCCTGTCTCAAGTCAATAATTCAATTTCTGGAGATGGATAGTTTACTCAGACTTACACATGACTGTCAAGAGAGTCCTTCTGAAGAGTTTGCCGCTGTTGATTCTGAACAGGAAGATCGCGAATGCAACCTTCATGCCGTGCAACGCCCACACCATAATCAGCCCATGTGCAAACTGCCATCTGCTGTACATGTCCAGCATTTCCGGAGTGATATCTTGCCAGTGCCGTCCAAGAGCCCAGTGTGATTCTCCCACGAAACAACCCCAGATCGCAACGCCGAGAATCATCGTTATGACGGCAAAGATATCGTCCCACCCTAAGTATTTGACCATGACAAGTCGTGTGTAGACTCGCATGGCCACCACAATGACCGCCAGAAAACACCAGGATCCTGTGATTGCAAGTATTGACCAGGCATTGTTGTCTTGTGAGGTCATCTTATCCATGAGATCTCTCCGTGATAGTGTCATTAGATGTAATGCCGGCATTTTGTGTTTCGTTCGACCTCAGGTCGCAAATCGATGGTTGTGGTCAGAACCTGTAGGTGTTTATTTCCTTCAATAGATCTATGGCCTAAGGTGCTCGATTCGCATGTAGATTAAGAGCGTTGGCACGGCGATTCTAGTCTCAAGCCTTGATGTCGAGTTGTCGCTTCAGACGGCCTGCTGTAACGTTGGGTTGTCCTGTTATTGTTCAGGCAAAGATGATCAAAAGTTAGAATCGAAAGACCAGGAAGTCGCCATGTGGAGCGGATCAGCATGTACAAGTATGAAAGCAGAAAAACGAAGATGTCAACGGTCTTCTACATTTGTCCCCACCTCACCGTCTAGGCGCTACAAGCTTACATCAATTGTTTCAGATGAGCCGGAGCAAGCAGCTGAGAGAGATGAGTGGTTCACATATGCCTCTCGATTTTGTGGCGTTCAGGCGGTTGACAAGCCTTTTCTATAGTCTGCTGGACAGCCAAAGCAAAATCACGAAGCGGAACTTACGAACCCACGAGCGAAACGTATTCGTAGTCTGTCTACCAGGCGTGGAATGTCCGCTTCCTGTGATGCAATGAGAACATGACCCGACCGCTAAAGTGTATGACGACGATGGATGTTGGAGTTGAATATGCTCTGATCTTGCCATCGAAGATTTGAAAACATTGTGGGGCTTCTAGATGCGTTTGACTGAGAAGGGTATGCAAGCAGTTACGACCGACTCGGTCTTGCCCGCGACGTTGTACCGGGTGGAGAACGTGTCGTGGTGCCTTCCAAGAAGGTTGTATAGTTGGAATACGTGAAGTCTCACTTGATCGATGATATGGAGTGCAAGCCATCCCTAGATCGGTTCACGACGGTAGGAAGGTCGGTATACCAGAAGTCTTTTCTCAGTAAGACGCATGAGATTATAGTCTCTACCATCGTCGAGGTTTGACAACCGCGGACGAGATATCGATAGACAACCGTTGTCGCCGTTCGTAACAGCTTTCGCGTGGCGTCGATCTTGTACTGGCCGTCCAACCTCGAAAGGTACATGTACCCTAGAGGCCATCCCAAAAATGGTATTACCAAGTGAGACACGTTCGAAAAGGATTGTTTGTTGTCACCGACGAGATGATGAAGGATGAAATCCGAGATGATGCGAAAAGGACGTTTGTCCTTGGCTTTTCTTCTCCACCATTTTCCGCCGGCACTCCCGAATCTGGACCCTGAGCTGAGTGGTTTCTCTCATGCTCACCGAGACACTCATCTCACCCTTTCCATCTGCCAGTCGTTTGGCTCCCTTCCAGAAGATTTCTGATCAAGCTAGAAGGAAGTGATCGAGCTGATGTCTCTTGAATCGCAGCTGAAGGTATTTTCAGGTCTTGAAAATGTCGATCCTTGACAACGTGCCGATCAGGAACATGCCTTTGTCTCACCCTGGCCGGAAACTTCTACAGCCTTGTGATCTGCAGATAAGTAATCATGGAAAATGCCTATATTGATTCATCGCAAAGCTTTACCATTGAGAGCCGCTCGTACCTAGAAGAGCGGAAGTATAGAAGCGACAGTGACATTTCTGAGGCATATATTCCATGTCCACACCTTGATGGCTTCAACTCTGATCCCTATTTTTGCACACCTCCGTGGAGGCTTATACCATCGGTCAACAGATTTTGTCATATATGGTTCTATATATCACTCTGAAGCTTGATCGATAGCTTGAGTGTACGTGTACTATAGAAGTCTCCTTCAATCTTTGAGTAAGACTAGTTTTCAATCTTTGGATACCGTGGGGTCCCAAGAGCATGGTTCATAGCTTCCTAAATTCAACGTCTCCATATCTTCTTCGGAGAGCTCGAAGTCGTATATGTCTCTGTTCTCCTCGATACGAGAAGGTGTAACCGATTTTGGCAGGATAACAAAGTTCTGTTATTCCTTGTCAGCAATTTAGTCGAAAGCATGGAACATGGCTATATTATACTTTTTGCAGACCCCAGCGGAGCAGAATTTGCGAGGTTGTCTTGTTATACTTCTTCGCAAGAGGTGTCAGAAGAGGATCATCAATCTTGGTTGCGCGAACCAGAGGACAGTATGCCTGTAGTTGTCAGTTTGGTTCTCTCAGAACAATACAAGTCCAGAAGCAGCATACCTCCATGACAATACCTCTCTTCTTGCACCATTCTACAATGTCGTCTCTGGCCAACCAAGGATGCAACTCGACCTGGTTGACACTCAACACACCACCTTTGCCCTTACCCTCCTTCTCCTCAGTCTGCTTGATCCACTCCTCGAGCTCTTCAAGATGGTGGACACCGTAGTTGCTCACGCCGATACTTCTCACCTTTCCGGCCTCAACGGCCTCGACTAAAGCCTTCCAGGCACCTAGTCTATTCTCCTTGCCACCATACGGCGCATGCAATAGATACAAATCAATATAACCCAAACCGGTCAGGCGGAGTGATTCGTCAACAACAGCTTTAGCAGCGTCATAGTTGATGGCCTTGGGAGGAACCTTCGAAGTAAAGAACAGCTCTGAGCGAGGGAGATTTCCTTTGAGCAGACCTGCTGCCGTGGGTGCCTCATTGCGATACGCGGCTGCGGAGTCGGCATGACGGTAGCCGCTCTTGACTGCGTGTGCAGTCACTTCTTCGGCAATGTCCATAGGCGTTTGGTAGACTCCGTACCCGAGAAGCGGAATTTCATATCCTGAGTTCAGGCGAACGGTGGAGTTGATGTTTAGCTTTGCCATGCTGGATGTCGACGTGAAGCTTCGTGCTGGAATGATAAAATGGCTCGCGACTTGACGGATTCTGGTCTTTGCGCTGGTGAACATGTTTTGACTTTGATGTTTTAGATAAGTTTGTAGTTATATCGGCAGTTATAGATACGAAAGTAAGCAGGTTGCTACGTCATGCTATTTTCGCCAAAGGTGGGGAACTGTGTTCATGCATGGAAGGCGTTGGCTCCAATTTTGGCATCTTATTTTTCGACCAGTGTAATTGACTGGCTGTTAAGGTATTGCATAAGCAGTGGCCGTCACGCAGCAAGAGTAGCCAATTCAGAGCGCGATTCTTGACGGAGCATAGATTGCAAATATCTATCAATCAAGACTCTCTGGGCCTCCAAGATATGCTCTAGAAACGGACGTCGAAGTGTCCATGCAAATTTACCCAACTGCATGTCCCAATGGTTTGTTGTAACGAGCTTTTGTGAAGACCAAGCGTCGCATAGCAGGCAATCGACACCTTAGGTGTCGAACTGCCACTTCTGCAATCCACCCTTATGTCCTTCCTTGGGTGCTGAGGTCCTCACTGCGGGCTTGAAAGTAGCAGTCTTGGAGTACTCTTGAGCCAGCTTTGCACATTCCTTCTTGTGGACTTTGTAGTGTGCTTTTGTGCAGTCTCGTGAGCAGTAGAAGACGGATTTGCAGGCGGTACAGGCCTTGAGTGGTTTCTCTTCGGGATCTTCTTCTGGCTTTTTGCACTGTGCGCAAACTTTTACTGCTGGTTGTTGTGATTCTGTAAGTATCGTTAGAGTAGGTCTTGATGAGAGTGTGGTTGTCGACGCATATAGAGATTTGAGAAAATTTCTATCACTTGCCTGATGTGGTGGGTTGGGCGCTCGACGAGCTGCTCGCCTCAGCTTGGTCTTGGGGTTGTTGTGCAGACATTCTGATGGTCTATCTGCTTAGCTTATGCGTGTTGATAAGACTGTATAGCGACGTGATATGCTGGTAGTGGGATGGATGATTTCGTTAGACAAGAGATAGGTGCTGATAGAGAACAGCAAGAATGTTGTGCAGAACGGCAGACTGATATTTGTCCGACGTCGTTGGCAACGCTTTTGGTTCACTCTTACTCAAGTCCGCTGTATGGAAACATGAGAGTCTTGCACCTCTGGAACTCTTGGATTTGTAAATGCCTTCTTCGTGAGAACCCAGCTGCTAACGCTGTACTGTTTGCTCGATGCTCAAATCGCGTTCGCTGCAGTCAGTCGGAAGCAAGCTTGAGTCTCTCAGGGTGGTTTCGAGCTACGCTGCCTACTACAAGCCACTCTGACGCTGTTCGTTCAGAACTCACAATCCTCTTATCACAGCAGATGTATTTCTTTCATCACTTGACTTGATTGACGACTCGCTTGCTGCATACTGTCAGATGTGGCAGTGAAAGATTGAGTTTCGGATCGGCTCAGTATTGATTACAGCCGGTCGTTCACTTGGCATTGGATCACTAGCGCAAGCGCGGGCAAGCGACTCGATTGGAGGTAATTGGCGCGTCCGTTGGCTCCTTCGTCTTTCTTTACACTCTTTTACGGTACATATCGTGTAATTCAGCGGTTGGCTTCCCATTGCATAAGCTTGATCCATCATGGTAGGCCGATCCACAATCACGACACTCAGCCTCTTGACAGATCTGACCTTGACTACAGGGCAGAAACGCAAATGCCATCATCCAGAGAGCCTTCGTCGAGTTCCAAGAGGATGACAATCCCACAAAGGTACCGCGTCGCTACCGACAGAGCGTGTCGCTGGTCGACCGCTGACGCGAAGCTGTACAGTGCAATAAAGTCCGCTGCACCTACTGCGGGTTCGTTCGCGCAAAGAACACAACTCGTCAGGTCGAGCACTTGCAGGAGTGTCAACAGTACTTGAGCTCCCCTGAATACGTCGAGTCGCTCAACGAAGCCGAAGCCTCGCAGCAGCAGCAGCAGCAGCAGCAAGACGAGGGCAATACGAGTATCATGTCTGGTATCAACAACTCACCACTACAAGCCACCCCCAACTCGGCTCAGAGGAACCAGTTTTTGATGGGAAACAGACCCAATCCAAATCTTCAGGTCAACCGCCGTGGACCCAACAAGCGCACACGGGATGGTCAGATCAAGAATGGCCAACGTGCTATGCCCGCTCCTATTGCGCCCAACCCACCTGCTCAGAGTCCAAGTCTCGCCGCATACCTCTTGACTCAGAACACCAATTCCTTCACAGCTGCCACGCAGACATCGTTCCTCTCTCATGCTGGTTGTGGCACTCTCAGCGCTGGCGCAATGAGCCAATGGCTGGCACAAGATTCACACATCTCGCGTGGATATATTGCCTTTGTTGGACAGCTCATTGGCAAGATCCGCCTACCCATCGTCGCGAACTCGCAATCACACCCTCTTTATCGAGCTATGGACTTGCTAATTAGTGCTCTGAACAACGTTCGCAGAGAGATGAGCTTTTTCGAAATCACCGCTACCAAGTTCAACCTACAGGTACCAAAGGAAGATCCAAACCCAATCACCAGAAGCTTTCTCGACTTGTTCGTTTCAGCAAGTTCGCCAGCCGCAAGTCTGCTCGAAGGCGCTGTCGTGCTGTGGGCCATCGAACACTGTTATCGTGCATCATGGGCATACGCAGCTAGCTTCTCGTCAAGCCTCAACCAGCCCATCCTGCCATACTCTTCCAACGGAGACTCGCATAATGCTGCCTTACATCAATCGTTGATTCCAAACTGGACATCGGCTGCTTTTGCAAAGTTTGTAGACGCGTGCAAGGCTGTTGTTGACGAGCTTGCTAATGCCGAAACTTCGCCTAATGGTCGTGAACAAATGTCTCGCTGTCTAAGTGCATTCAACCAAGTTCTTTGGCTCTGGGAACGTACCTGGCCTTCAGTCGATGGCATGGGCGAGGAGAATGAGAGTGCAAGTGCAGAGCGCTTCAACAGCAATGGCATGCGACCTCGTAGCTCGACCGGTGGTGGTCAGCCAGGTGGTGTGCCTGACCGTGACTCTCACACTGGTGATGATGACGATGTTGTCGAGATGAGAAGGGGAAGCGCTATTGGTGCTAACTCGTACGTCAGTCCATATGGAGCTGACGGTCTTCGAGCAGTTGAAGCTGCCAACAATGCTTGAGCGTGGGCTATTTCCTTTCCTATCTTCCAATTGGCAATTCGGGTTCTCTAGGCTGTTCGGCGTTGAGGTTGCTTTTAGCATGGCGCCGGGGCGAACATGATCAGACCAAAGCGAGGTTTCTTAGCGTAGCAAACATGTTTTTGAATTGTCGTTCGATATGCTCGTCTGCTGCCTGCCAGTGAAGATCCGCCTTTTTCCTAAACATGCCTCTTCCTAGTATTTTCCCATGATGCGCCCGTATGCTCCTCCTCTTTGACCCTGAACGCCAACGCTATGCATAACCCAACATTATCGTCCAGCTCTTGTTCGAACGTGAGATGTTTACTTCTTGTTGACGGCCTTGTTCTTGGCCTTCTCGAGTCTGTCCTTCTTGCCACCCTTGAGCATCTCAAGGTGACCAGCTTTTTCGGCGAGGGAGCGCTCGGTCAAGGTAATCAGGCCGGCGGAGTGCTTCTACTCGGGAGTCAGCTGTCTGTTCGGCCTCGCGCATACCGTCCCAGATCTTGCGAACCTTCTTCATGTTGGCCTGCTTCAACAAAGCAGCCTTCTTGGGCTTGATGACTCTGTTGCCCATCTGAGGACCAGTAGGCCTTGCGCCCCTAGAAATGGAAAAAGTCAGTCGCAATTTCCTGTGCGAGCGTATTCCGGGAGACTGACTTCTTGGGCTCTGTCTTGACCTTTTGCTTGACGGTTCCTTGGGCCATGGCTGTGTTGTGAGAGGTGGAAGTCTGTTTGGATAAAGTCGCGATGGCTTGGATTGTTTGCCGTTGATCGCTTTGCCATGCATGTTTTTTTGTCAACTCCACCTTTTCTTGTCCCCGGACCCCGCATCGCAGCGAGTCATGAATTCCGTCTTGGCATCTCTCTTCTCCAGCAGGACTTGCAAGGTTCTTGCTCTACAAGCATTGGGTATGACTGTAGTCAATCATCGGAGAGCCAACATAGTCGTTCACGCGTACTGAAGCCAATTTAAAGCGATGCAAGACGACAATACATGCTCGTTAGCAAGACACACGTTTTTCATTCCCGATGCTTGTCGGCCTCTGATGTTTGAGTTTACCTCGCCTCATCTTTTACCCGGGGCCGAATGACCTGCCACCTCTGAATATGCTCCACATCCGGTGACTGCAGCCAAGATCTGTCTTGGTTCCTGTCTATCACGGTCTGCAGGTTGATCCCATGCCTCAGCCATGCCATGTCAGTATGCAGATCACGAACTTATTCACTTTACCCAGAATATCCGGTACATCCATCGTCTATCGACTCCAGATCGATACGAGAGTATGGCATTGCCTGAATGACTCCAGGTGGGGTATGCGAACGGAGAGCCTAGTATAAGTAGATGGCAATGACCACTTAGTATCAAAGTCGATCACTCTTGTATGTCTTTGCAGATGACAAGGCAACCATGATATCAATACGACCACTACTATCGTTATTATCGCTCGCCAGTACGGCATTGGCAATCGGCCAAAATGCAACCATTGCCTTCAATGCCTCGGCCGGCTCTCATGAGTTGGCTTCGGGAGGCTCTTCAGTTCAGATCATGGCAGACTCTCATGACTGGCCTGCTGTGTTGAAGGCTGCTCATGACTTATCTCAAGATTTTGGCAGAGTCACTGGCACTAACGGATCTGTCACTCTCTCAAACACTTCTGATGATTCTGGTGTACCTGCCTATAATGCTGGCTCGTACTTTAGCAGCAATCCCAACAATGCCTCGATGATCTTCAACATTACCGACTTGACTACGTTCAGTACTATTGGCTCTGGAGCAAAAGGAGGAGTCATCATTGCAGGAACAATTGGAAACTCTTCGCTCATTGACATGCTGATCAAGAGCGGCAAGATCGATGTCTCAGCTATCAACGGTACATGGGAGGCATTCACTTCCACCGTGATCTCGAACCCGATGGACGGTGTGACTCAAGCGTTGGTCATTGCTGGCAGCGACAGAAGAGGAACTGTCTATGGTCTATACGACGTATCAGAACAAATTGGTGTCTCGCCATGGTATTTCTGGGCCGACTCTCCTCCTCAGAAGCACGATTGCATCTACGCCATGAACACCACTAAGGTGCAGCCCTCACCATCAGTTAAGTACAGAGGTTTCTTCCTCAATGACGAAGCGCCTGCTTTGACTGGATATGTCAATGAGAAGTTTGGTTTCACAAAGTATGGCTCGAATTTTGGTGCCAACTTCTACCACACTGTCTTTGAACTTCTGCTTCGTCTGAGAGCAAACTACCTCTGGCCAGCTCAGTGGAACTCGATGTTCAACGTTGATGATCCGAGAAGTCAGGCCATGGCTGACGAATATGGTATCGTCATGGGCACTTCACACACTGAGCCCATGATGAGATCTACCAAGGAATGGAGTGAATTCGGGCATGGCGTTTGGAGCTGGGCACAAAACAATGCTAGTATTTACCCATTCTTCGTCGAAGGTGCCGAGAGAACACGACCTTATGAGGGTGTGATCACCATGGGTATGCGTGGGTCAGGCGATACCGCCCTTTCAGCCGGCATTGAGACTGCGCTTCTGGAGAATGTTGTCTCGACCCAGCGTGATATCCTCGCTCAAGTTTTTGGCAATGCCAGCGTCCAGGATCCTGACGCTGTACCTCAGTTATGGTGTTTGTAAGTCCCTATCCCCAACCCTGTCTCACGATATCGATCCTCTATTGCGATGCAGGGTTCTATCTCGGATGAGTAGACACCTGCTGCAAACTCGTCTCCGCTCGTAAAGAGCTCCCATGATGTATATGCTAACTCCAGTGGCGCTTTAGGTACAAGAAAGTGCAGGGCTACTACGAGGCAGGCATGACCGTGCCTGAAGACATCACCCTTCTCTGGACGGACGATAATTGGGGAAATATTCGGAGACTTCCGGTTGGCAATGAGACCTCGAGAAGCGGAGGCGCTGGTGTCTATTACCACTTTGACTATGTCGGTGACCCAAGAGACTACAAATGGATCAACACGGTACTCAACCAGAAGACGTGGGAACAGATGCATCTTGCCTACGAGAGACAGGCAAGACAGATATGGGTCGTCAACGTGGGAGACCTCAAGCCTCTCGAGCTGCCCATCTCCCACTTCTTCGATCTTGCATACGACATCAACCGTTGGAACAAAGACAGTACTCCCGAATGGCTCGAGCTCTGGGGATCTCGTGAGTTCGGTCCTGAGGTCGCGGCGCAAACGGGAGCTATCATGAACACATACTCTATCCTTGCTGGCCGCAGAAAGTTCGAAGAGGTAGATCCGAACACTTACAGCTTAATCAACTATAATGAGGCGAACAAGGTTCTGGCTGAATGGACAACTCTCCAGGCACAAGCCCAAAGCATTCTCGATGGACTACCAGTGGCCACACAACCCGCCTTCTTCGAGATGGTCTACCACCCTGTCACAGCTGCTCGCACTTACTACGACATCATGATTTCTGCTGCCAAGAACAATGTATACGCACAGCAAGGGCGTACCTCAACCAATGCTATGGCACAACATGTGCAGAACCAATTTTCATACGACCACCAGCTTTCCAAGTCTTATAATGGACTCCTTAACGGAAAGTGGGATCATATGATGGACCAGACACACATTGGCTACACTTACTGGCAACAGCCCATGAGACAGGCTTTGCCTCCTCTTCAATACGTTCAGATGGCTGAAAGAGCCTTGATCGGTGATCTTGGTGTTGCCGTCGAAGGTTCCAACGCCACAGTACCTGGTGATGACAGATTCCATTCGCTTTCATCCATGATCTTGTACCTCCCAACTCTTGACCCGTATGGACCTGCTCGTTGGATCGATGTTTTCCACACTGGTACTCAGCAGATCATTTGGAACGTCCAGTCCAGCGTTCCTTACCTCAACTTCACACAAAAGACTGGCACTTTGTCTCCAAACGGCACCACAGACACTCGCATCTGGGTTTCTGTTGACTGGTCGAAGGTCACTCCTGGCGCAATCAACACAACCACCATCAACATCACTAGCTCTTCCAACTATGGCACTCAGTACAGCGTTCCCCAGGTTGTAATCTCCTACAACCATACCGTCGTCCCATCGAACTTCACCAATGGCCATGTCGAGTCTGACCGCACTGTCTCGATGGAAGCAGAGCACTACTCATCCATCTCGAACGGTGGCAATTCTTCAGTCTCATATGAAGTCATCCCTGGATTGTCGCGGACGCTCTCAGGAGTCACTCTGTTCCCTGTCACTGCAGATTCTCTTACCACAGCAACTGCCCCTGCTCTCGAGTACGACTTCTATACCTTCACCAACTTGAGCTCTGGAGCCCTGATGGACCAAAATATGGGTACTAGCACTATGTACACTCCGAACACTGTCAACGTGACACTGTTCCTGGGCACTTCTCTCAATACCGACCCTAATCGCCCTCTTCGCTATGCTGTGCAGCTCGATGACCAAGAGCCGCAAACTAGACATTACATCATAGATCAACCAGCAGGCGCTAATCCCACTGGCTGGTTAACTGCTGTTGCAGATGTGATCTGGTACAACACAACCACTTTCCACTACTCGGGTCCCGGAGCACACAAGCTGAAGGTCTGGGAGTTGGAACCAGGCGTGGTTTTACAAAAGTTAGTTGTAGATCTTGGTGGTGTGAGAAAGAGTTTTCTGGGCCCTCCTGAGAGTTACAGAGTTTGAGCAACGGCATAAATCATCATGATTGTTGTGGAGTAGTGTTATGATATGTTATATGATGGTGAAAAGCTCAAGACCTCTCGATTGTCTCTTTTTTTCTCCTTGATGATCCGAGTTCTGAAAGCTTCTCGATGCAGCAATCAATGCAAGAGTGAACCAATAAAGGCGATCATTGCATTCCTTTCTTGGTTAAACGAATTCTTCAGCACGATGGTATCCTCGAAGTCATAGGGGCGACCCTGACAGGCAGTTTCCCCTAGGAGTACTTTTCGAGAGCGCATTTCCCACTCAACCTCTCTTTCCTGCTAGGCTGTCACCTCGATCGCTTTCTTTTGTTTCTTATGTCAGCGAGATGGGATCTGCTACGAAGTGTGACCACCGTCAAGAATTGTCCAACGATTCTCTCAAGACGCGTTGCTTGCGGATGATACAGTCTATAAATCCGCATCCTCATGGGAGTGTCGGACGACGGCTGTTCGGCAGTCTTTGAGAACGTGACCGCTTTCCGTATGCCAAACCATCAAGAAGCTTAGAAGTCATTGCTTCGACAAAATTCATTGGACCGGCATCCCGAAAATTGCGATCTGGACTTGAATTGTTGTTTACTTCGTGCACTCAGCTCTAAGCGTCTTCAGCTGAGAACTAGATCCCGAGGGACGCCACATCGAGTCGACCACTCTCCACATATGTACTTTGATCCGATCCAGAATCTTGGATAATGACCACTTGCTCGAAAGGGATGAAACTTCATTTAGTTAAGAGCTGAAGTACGACATCGGATTGCTTACCACGAAATACCATGATTCATACTTGCGGATGTGCTGGCACCCGAGTAGGCACAATAACAATTAGACGGTCATGTCCGAACCTTGGTGGTAAAGGATCCTGAGCTTCCTGCGGCCAGGTGTATAAGAACATCCTGATGGCCTGCTCAAGGTCGAGTATATCGCAAACATCATATCCCTCTCAACATGCGTTCGTTCTTCACACTGCCCGTCCTAGCCGCGGTCGTTGCTGCCGTTCCGAGACCACAAGATATCGATCTCGATCAGGTCGAACAAGCTCCGGACCCAGTCATCATCACTCCTGCTGTCGATGTTGCTACTCAGGTGGTAACGGTAGCAGCTGTCACTGAACAGGCTGCTGCAGCATCCGCCGCAGTATCTGCAGAACTCGCTGTTAACAGTGATTCGTCCCTCGATGCGCGAGATCTTATTGGCAGAGACTCGGCCTGCGCAAAACAAAAACCTGGATCTGGTCCAGTTGCTAGCCCTGATACGCCAGAGGCCTTTCTCGCACTTAGTCAGTTGTCCGTGAGTCTAGTCTATTTCAATGTCTGCTCCTACCATTACTGACGTTTGACAGAGCATGAGTACAACCGCCGCTACACCTTACGGCTACTCCCAAGTGTTCGCCAACCAGAATGCTTCTCTCAGTGCTAGCGTATACATGGGCCTGTATACTCTGAACAGCTATGATGTCCCTGGATGCCAGTCAATTTGTGATCAGAATTCTGGATGTGTTGCCTTCAACATTTACGCAGAGCGGGACCCGACTGTGAACCCAGACCCATCGCAGTGTCCTAATCCAGCCAGTACTACCAACTACAAGGCACGTGGTCTTTCAAAGCTCGAAGAATGTAAGACTAATGTCTATAGTGCACTATTTGGGGCGCACCAGTATCTCAGGAACAAGCAAACAATTTCGGTCAATGGCGCGCTTCTTTCCAAGTTGTCATTACTGCATCGAATGCATACAACAAGAATGCACCTCCTCCTTCTGTCGCTGGCTTCACTGATCCTGTCGGCTTGGGAGGTGCCATAAATGCTCCCTTGGACTCCAATGGCAAGAATACTTTCATGGGCAGCAAATTTTTCCCCTTTTCACAGCAGCAGGGCTTCACCCTCGAGTCTTGTACCAGCGCCTGTACGGCACAGACCGCCTACAACAAGGCTCATCCCAACAAGGATGGTAGCTTCATGACTTGTGCTTTCGTGAACGGATATGTCCTGTCGAGAAATGGTGTTCCTCAGGGCCTCTACTGCTCCATGTACAACCAGACATGGGCTGCTTCCTACGCCACCAACTATGTGAGTACACCAAACCACTGAGCGACGTACATGTCTGTTCTAATCTACATGTGCAGGGCCAATACCGTGGTTCAGTCAGATACACTGTCAGCAACAGCTACGCATACTCCGTCGTCACTCGTCCCGAGATCCCTGCTGGCGTCGTCTGCCCTCAAGGTTATTCGACAGACACCAAGTCCTGCGGCGAGTACTCTCTGGTACCTGCTTCGCTGGCCGCCATTCCTTCCATCTTTACCGTCGCGAACGCTTCTTACGAGACCTGCGCATTGGATTGCTTGGCCAACCCTGCCTGTATCTCGTGGTCAACGACTGACAACAGAGTGCAGCCGAGCGATGAGGGAAACTGCCAGTTCTACACTCAGCGTGTGGCCGATATCATCGACGAGTACGAGTACAAGGATTGGGACTACAGATATGACAATACGTATGCTACGCTGTTTGATTATGATTGCTTTGACGCTCAAGGCACCGCATGTACACCGGGCCAATCGAGGTAAAGATGGCAGCATTCTTAGCTATAGATATACAGCACTTATGCAGTTACAATTAATGTATCCTCATACTCGGCATACGCATCTGTCTAAACTCAACTCTTGAAAGAAAGGAACATCACACGCTAAATATCATTTCATAGCAAAGGAAGACTGCCGAGTCAGTTGAGCCAGCAAAGCATATATATCAACCCTTGAGACGCAACAAGTGAATTGCATGTTACGGTTGCAAGCGAAACACGACTCGACTCAACCCACTAGTCTGAGATCAACCTCGGCAAGCCTCAACGGGTGTGGCTTGAAGCAAAAGAATAGACCGAACTAGAGACGATCATAGCTCGTGCCAATCTGCCATATCCTGCCGCCTGCCGACTATTACTTACCTACTCTCTTCTCTACTCACCACACGCGTAGCGAACACCTAGCGAATCGAGTCAATCATGATCGCTTCCATTGTATCGCTACAGCTTTTATGGGCATTATTGGCGCTGGCAAACCATCAGATTGATCACGCAGCCATACAAGCCCAAGAACGCGAGTTAGCTAAGAAATGGGGTCGTCCCGTGAGTTCCAAGCATCCCACCTGTTCATAACTACCATCTTCTGGACAGCAGGACTTTACGGTCCGAAGCAAGAGGTGCATGCTAACATCTGTGATGACCCAGAGCAGTTTTGCTGGCCTCGTTACTTTTGCTCATTTGCCTTATACGCAGTGCTTAAATAGTCTGCGGCACAGATATGATGTAGCGGTCATAGGCGCGCCATTTGATACTGGAACCACTTACCGGAGCGGTGGGTGTTGAGACTGCATCATGTTCCTGCAAGTAAGACACTGATTGCAGGCTGCCTAGGCGCGAGATTCGGCCCTAGAGCCATCCGACAAGCATCAATGCGGCAAACAGCCTATCGAGGCTTTAATGCACGGGCAGCTATCAACCCATACAGGTCGTGGGCTCGAGTCCTGGACTGCGGAGATATTCCTGTGACGCCGCTTGATAATCAAGTCGCGATGAGACAGATGTCAGAGGCATACGCAGAGTTAGGATCTCGCGTCCCTGCCTTCGATGCTGACAAAGCGAGCCAGCATATCGACGAGGAGTACGCGGAATATCCCAAATTGGTCACTTTGGGAGGTGATCATTCCGTCGCCTTGCCGGCCTTAAGAGCGCTTCATGAGCTGTATCAGAAGCCAATTGCCGTGGTGCATTTTGATGCCCATTGCGATGTAGGTAAAAATCCCTAATTCGTTCATGGTCAAACGCTAATGCGAGAATCTGGTAGACCTGGCCCGGCCTGAAGGAAGAGGACGACGAATACTGGTTCAGCGGACAGGCTAATTACAACCATGCTTCGGTCTTTTGGAATGCAGCCCAAGAAGGACTACTAGCGAATGGATCATGTATTCATGCGGGACTCAGAAGTCGCTTGACGGGGACCGGCTTTCAAGACTATGAGAATGACGTCCAACAGGGATTTATGCAGATTGAGGTTGACGACATAGATCGGTGGGGCGCCGAGGGCATTGCTGAAAAAATCATAGCCAGGGTAGGTACAGAGATTCCAGTGTATCTCAGCATCGATATAGACGTCCTAGATGTGGCTTTTGCACCAGCGACTGGGACGCCCGAGGCAGGTGGCTGGTCGACCAGGGAATTGATCAGGATATTGAGAGGAATTGAAGGGCTGAATGTCGTTGGTGCGGACATCGTCGAAGTTGCGCCTGCCTACGATAGTGTCGGGGAACCTACATCGATAGCGGCTGCACAGATCGTTTACGAGGTTCTGACGAGTATCGTGAAGAGAGGGCTGACGGCAGTCGCCAATGGTAGCAAACCAAACCACCTTAGAGATGAGCTTTGACTTAATCCCTCGCGGCGAATACACTCAAGTTTAGACCCTCCCCGTGTGCTTAGATAGTCACAGTATAGCTATAGAAATGCACAATATCTTCTTGAAAGATGTTGTGTCCACAGGGAGAACACCATTGAAGGCTATCTCTATGGTCGAACTCGTATTTAAATCGCAATTATGCATTTCGACATCCCATAATAATCCTTATGCCTGAGATGGAGACGAGATCCTTAGTTGCCAGATTGTAACTGTCTTGAGCATACGGGAAGGACGAACATCGTAAGGCATGGCTCTACACGATGATCAATTCTGAATTCTCCGGCCAAAAGCCTCGATGGTTGCCATTTGTTGCGCATGGTGACAGCTCTTCGAGAGTCGGTTCTGATAAGAAGTTCTGATCTGTCGTCCGAGTCTTACAGAAATGTAGCCACGGATGCACAGTGAACATGTACGAAACTTGGTCTGGGAGGCCTTTGACAAGTCAGAAATGCGGACGATTGGTCTAAATTGTTCTTGGTAGCGAGCATCGAGCATATGAATATGCTGTCAGCTTCTGCAGCGCGCTTTAGAGGACAATTGGTACCGTATCACATAGGTTGAGTGTGGCATCGGACAAGTACATGCAGATAGATGGTTGAGGTTGTGCGGAGGGGAGAGTTGAACGGCGGTGAGTCAAGCAATGGTCAGCATTGGTTCTGCAAGCAATGATGGAGTGGATGCAGAGGTATATGCGGGAGGTGGAGATGCGAGCCGTCACAGTGTCGCAGAGAGCGATTGAGTGGAAGGATAGATCCGAATGTGTGGGATTGGGTGCATGGAGACCCGCGCGGAAGTGGGAAGTGCGCTTTGGAGTGACAGCCACAAGCGCGCTGGATGCGGAGGGTGTGCATGGAAGCTGCAGCCACGGTGTGTCGAGAGTCGAGACTCGTGACGAGGATGCAAGATGCACAGGTTGCCTGCTGCTATGTTCACGTTTATTCGACGTTGAAGACGAAGGGAATACGACGAGTATTCCGGCTGGGAATTGTGTTCACGAATCAGTGAGGACGCGTCAGGGAGAGCAACAGCTGACCGCCTCACAGCCCTATTCAGTGGAGATGGAGGGCAGCAGGCATATTTAGAGTTTGGACTTTTGGATGTTGTATGCAGCACTTGTGGACGATGAGCAAGCTGAGGAGCAGTTTTGCAGCGGGTGCGAAAAGTAATTGATCGCGTGCAGTTGTTGGAAGGAATAGATTGATCGGAAAAATAGGTCATCTGCGCCTATTGACCTGGTCGGATGTGGTTAGGACAGAGCAGGAACGAGAGAGAGATTGGCTAGCTTGGGCCCCGGCTGTCGGATCGATCATCGCCACTGCAATCGGCTTGCATGGCGTACCTGAAGACGGAAGCCGCCCTCAAGCACTTTCCAAATCGTAACTTGCTACTCGAACCACTACAACCCCCCGGAGTGCAATAGACGGCAGTGGAAGATGCTGACTATTCTCGAGTGGTGGCAATTGTAATACTCGTCTCTCGTCCATCGCCTTCGTCCTCTCGCTTTTTGTTCTGCTTCTTGTCCCGCCCCTCGACACTCCCGAACCGAGGGCTTTTCCACCCTGGTCACCACCTCCATCATTATGGACTCAGTAACCCTCGATGATGCCACGCCCACAGTCTATATGAAACACCACCGACATGGTCATTGGGTCGCCGAACACAAAGCCCAGCGTCTTCTGTCCATTGTACACTTCGCATATCCCATCCTACTGCTCTTCTTCTTCCTCACCACTTTCACCATTCGCAGCATCTTGACTGCCAGGAGTGACGCACCCGATGATAGCAAATCCGAACCGCAACTGGGCCCTGGCGGCAAGCCTTTGCCCAAGAAGAAAGCACCCGTCGACAACTCCAAGAATACTTTCCTTGATTTTAGCAGACCGCGCAAGTTGCTCTTCCAGTGGTTGTCTCTGGCAGCAACTCTCACCCTCGCTGGCAATGCAGTCACCGTAGTAGTTCATGCCCTGTATGCGCGCAAGGAAGAATGGTGGTGTGGACAAGCCACAGTTGTAAGCCAGTCCAGTAATGAAACACTTCCTTTGCTCCTACTAAGTCTCCGCTGAATAGGTCTACATCGTCGGTGCATTCATGGTCTACACTCTGCTCCTCATCTCCATCTTCGATACACAGCCCTCTCCCACCTGGGCCCATGCTTCAACATGGGCTCTTGCTGCCGCAATGGAAATTGTTCTACTCGCTTCCTCGTTCGCCCTGTATACCCATGCACACCACGAACCCAAAGCAGGAGACCCGTCCGGTGGTCACCTAGAAAGAGAAATGACTGAATGGGAAATCACTGAAGTCACATTGGATCTGGTCCGCATCATCCTGCTCCTCGCCCTTTTGGCATTCTACATTCTTTTTGTCACTCTGCATGCGAGAAGCCAAAGAAAGCAGACCGAAAACCTCGATTCTACAAGTGAAACCACTGGACTTCTTGCTGAAGATCGTGCTGAGGCTGGCGCCGCCAACGGATCTGCCAACGGAGCTAATGGATACGGTGCAACACAGCAAAACGGGCACAACAAACCTAAGAAGGCTGCAGACGCCCCTGCTGGTTGGGAAAAGCCAACAACAACACCTTCTAGAAGTTGGTGGGAATATATCAGAGGTTACTCCCTATTCTTCCCATACCTCTGGCCTTCCAAAGACCGCAGGCTACAGTTCGCTGTCATCGTCTGTTTCACCATCATGCTTGTTCAACGCGGTATTCAATTTTTGGTGCCCATTCAGGCTGGTCAAATAACTGATGAGCTTGCTGATGATACCAAAACTGGCATGCCTTGGAAATCCATCTGTCTCTATATCTTCTATCGCCTTCTTCAGGGAAACAATGGTTTGCTTGGTGCGACTCGATCCATCATCTGGATTCCGGTCAGTCAATACTCTTTCCGCGAGCTTTCAGTTGCCTCCTTCGAACATGTCCATAGTTTGAGCTTGGATTTCCACCTGGGCAAGAAGACTGGCGAGGTTCTGTCTGCTCTGGGTAAGGGTAACGCCATCAACAACTTCCTCGAATCGGTCACTTTCCAAGTAATCCCCATGCTGGTTGACCTCTTCATCGCCATCGGTTACTTTATGATCAAATTCGATGTCTACTATGCATTGATCGTCGCTGTTGTCACCTTCTGGTATATCTACCTGACCATTCGCATGGCTCAATGGCGTGCAGAGATTCGCAGACAGATGGTGAACTCAGACAGAGAAATCGATGCTGTCAAAAATGACTCTATGGTCTCATACGAGACCGTCAAGTACTTCAATGCCGAAGCGTACGAGTTTAACAGATACCGCGAGGCAGTTGACAAATACCAGAAAGCAGAATACTCAGTTGTTCTCTCACTGAACTTCATGAACGTCACACAAAACATGGTCTTCATGATTGGTTTGATGGTTGCAAGTTTCGTTGCTGCTTACCAAGTCACTACCGGTCAACGCAGCGTCGGTAAATTTGTTATTCTATTGACATACATGGCTCAATTGCAGGGACCTCTGAACTTCTTTGGCACCTTCTACCGCATGATTCAGAGTGCCATGATCAATTCCGAGCGCATGCTTGAGCTGTTCAAAGAGCAGCCAACCGTTGTAGATGCTCCAGGAGTCACGACTTTGCCTAGTTGCGAAGGTGATGTACGTTTCAATGATGTTCACTTCTCCTACGACTCCCGCAAGCCTGCTCTCAAGGGATTGGACTTCCATTGTAAGCCTGGAACTACAACTGCTCTGGTTGGAGAATCTGGCGGCGGCAAGTCAACTGTCTTCCGTCTGCTCTTCCGCTTCTACAACTCTGAGTCTGGCACAATCCAGATTGATGGTCACGATGTTGCCGATGTGTCTATCGATAGTGTTCGCAGACACATTGGTGTTGTTCCTCAAGACACAGTCCTCTTCAACGAAACACTAATGTATAACCTCAAGTACGCCAATCCCGAAGCCAGCGACGAGGATGTCTTCGAAGCCTGCAAGGCCGCCTCGATTCATGAAAAGATTCTTTCATTCCCAGACGGCTATAACACTAAGGTTGGTGAGCGTGGTCTGCGTCTGTCCGGTGGTGAAAAACAGCGTGTTGCAATTGCTCGCACCATTATCAAGGATCCTCGCATCATTCTGCTCGATGAAGCTACTGCCGCTTTGGACACCGAGACCGAAGAACACATTCAGGAGGCTCTCATGACTCTGGCTCAAGGCAGAACAATGCTCGTGATTGCGCATCGTCTTTCGACTATCACCATGGCTGACCAGATCTGCGTTCTTCACGAAGGTCGTGTGGCTGAGCGAGGCACACACCAAGAACTGCTTGAGATGAAGGGCAAGTACCACTCGATGTGGCGCAAGCAAGTCCGCGCTCAGAGAGCAGCTGAAGAAGCCAAAGTACTCAAGGACAAAGCTGAGAGACTACGAAGAGAGAGCCGAGGTGGTGAAGTACCACAAGAAGGCGACACTTCGGCTGGCAGCAGTGAAGACGAAAAGGAGAGACAACGAAGCGCACAGAAGTCTCAAAACATGCAGGCTCCTGTCGATGCTGGTGTGGCTCCTACAGAGCTTGCACGACACCAAGAAGGAAGTAGCAAACCACCCGGGCATCCTTGAGAATAGCCCTTCTTAATTCTTTTCTTCTCCTTCTTCAATTGCATGGACGGGTAATAATCTGGTTCGTCTGGTTGGATGTTCTTGCTCGGGTCATTGTTCACGCTCCTTCACATGATTGCATACTCATGGCGTTCTTGTTATTCGTTCCTGCTTAGCCTACTGACCTCTGGTTCTTTCCTTTTTCTGCTCTTTGGCGCACATATCAAAAACTGCATGGCAAAACTACCAACTTTGGAAGGCTGAAAAGAAAAGGTTGTTTCCTAATCTCTGTATAGAAGACATCTCTGTCGACGCCGACAATCAAAATGCAAATTGTACACATCTTGACTGACCTCTTTCATGTTTATGTGAATAAGTATACGGAGTTTTTGTTTTAACACCGAGACTCAATACCTCGGCTCCCCCAAGCCCCTCGACTTGTGATCTCATCGCCCTTTGACAACCTTGACAACTTTGCAACATGGATACTCACCAACATATACAGCCATGGCAGCATTATCGCAAGCATCAACAGTAAACACATCTCTACCTTCTGAGCCTCTGCATCTTCTGACCCCTTGACCTACACAGGCCGCCCTAGCCCGTCTCCGCGCCTTCAAACCCCCACCATCACAATACACCAAACTACCTCTCAGCCGCCGCGCCGCCGTACTGATCCTCCTCTTCGCCGACCGTCGCGGCGACTTACGCGTCATTCTCACCATCCGCAGTGCAAAGCTCAGAAACTATGCCGGACAAGCTGCCCTCCCTGGTGGAAAAGCAGACTTTGAGAGTGAAACCGCATGGCAAACTGCACGCCGCGAAGCAGAAGAGGAAATAGGCCTACCAAGCAAAGATGGAGAACTTCCTAAAGGATACACGGTTGAGAATCTGACCGAACTGCCTATGAACCTTGCAATGACGGAGTTGGGGGTTAGGCCTTGTGTTGCTTGGCTCAAGAGTTCGAATTCCTCTTCGGATATTGCGAAAGATCTGTTGCCGAAATTGGATGGGAGGGAGGTTGCTGCAGTGTTTACGGCACCGTTTGAGCAGTTTTTAAAAGAGAGGGATGATGGAGCGGTAGAAGGGGAGTGGTATAGAGGTGCCTGGCATAGTTGGTATCACGAGCCGTGGCGCATGCATATGTTTCATGTGCCTGTGAGCCAGAGGACAGTGTTCAGAAGTGTTGAGGTGGAGAATACGCGGTTGGATGCAGCGACGGCGCCGTGTTCGCCTGCGTCCAAGGCGCCTGTGTTACTTGCCGATCGGGCTGCTCAAGCGTATGGGAAACCAGTACCCGGCTCTTCAAAACAACAGGAAACAGAGAACAAGACTCTGGCACAGAAAGATGCATTGGATATGCCCAGGTATAGGGTGTTTGGCATGACGGCGAGGATCTTAGTGGATGCGGCGAGGGTGGCCTATGGAAGGGAGCCAGAGTTTGAACACAACAGTCACTTTGGCGATGAAGACATGATCTTGCGGTTGATGAAGATGGGAAGACTACAACCAAAGAAGGAGAAGGGGGAAATCTTGACAAGGGATGTCATGCAAGCGGCTGCCAATGTTGAGTTAAATGGCGAAGAGAAGGGCAAGCTGTGAACAATAGAATCATAATTCTCATGATTGATGTTCAGTCTGGTCCGAACCTATAACTCTATGAGGCTATATGTCATGAATTTAGTTCTTAGCGCCGTGGATGAAGAGTCTCTCCTCGATGGGCTGCTGCTGCTTGCCGCCCTTCTCGACAGCCTCGCGGGCACCCTCTGCATATCCACCAAAGACAAGCTGAGCCTGGAGTTCCCACTCCTGGGGAATGTTCCAGTGGCCTTGTGCCTTCTGGTCGATCTGTGGAAAACACTGTCAGTATTGCACTTCTTGAAATGAAATGAGGGATTGACTTACGATAGGGTTGTAGTGCTGAAGGTTGCAAGCACAGCCTTCGGCCTCAAGAGCAGTCCAGAGGTGGTACTGGGCCATGGCGTTGGACTGAGTAGCCCAGCCGGGGAAGTGCTGAGCGTAAGTAGCGAACTGAGATTGGAGCTTCTTGACGGGGTTGGGGTCGTTCAAGAAGAGGATCTGATGGAAAAAAAAGTCAGCCATTGCGTTCCTTCACTAGAGACATCAAATTATGGGGAAAGTCCATACGGTGCCGTGACCAGCCTTGAATCCATCAAGCTTCTTCTCAGTCTGAGGGAATTGCTCCTCAGAAACCTGGGGCTTCAGAACCTCCTTAACGAACTCCCAGAACTGCTTGTGCTCGTCATTGAGCAAGACAACAATACGGGTAGACTGCGAGTTGAAGCTGCTGGGAACGTGAAGGATGTTGTGTCTAGCAATCTCCTCAACACGAGCATCAGAGATAGGGATCTTGTCGGTGATTTGGTAGATGGTTCTGCGGTTCTCGCAAGCCTTGAGGAAGTCCATGGAGGAAGCCATTGTTGCTGTGCTATGGAAGTGTGCGGATGAAGTGCCGAAGATAGAATTGGGTTTGAGAGATGAAAAGCGAGAAGATGGGAGATGAAAGTGTTTGATGAAGAGGAAGCTCGCGCATTTCAAGCAGAGCTCAGACCTTTCAGGGTCGTTGGGATAACATGCCCTAAGCTTCATGGCAAACGCCAAAAAAAGTGGCCTCAACCCGGAATTGAACCAGGGACCTCCTGCACCCAAAGCAGGAATCATACCGCTAGACCATTAAGGCGAACTGTGCTGGGAACAGAAATTTTGATATATGATACCTTTGATGGAAGTTGTTATACTACTAAGCTCTATAACTCTATTATCTCTAGCCTTCTTAGTAATAGTAAAGAACTACTATTCTTTATATAGCTTATTACTACTAAGATTAAGACTAGTAATTTTATCTATTTTAAAAAGTAAAAAGATAGTAATAGTTAATAATTAAGATAGTTATTATAATTTAATACTATAGTTATACCTTATTATAGTAATTATAATTACTACTATAATTATTACTAAAGTAACTTAAAAAGTAGTATAAAAAGACTATTAGCTACTAAGCTAGCTATATCTATATAACTAGCTATAGCTATATAACTTAATACTATCTACTATACTATAATTCTTCTTTACTAAAAAATACTTATTTTTAAGTATTTATTAAAACTATAAAAGTAATAGAGTTAGTAAGAACTAATCTTAATAGCTAGTAATAACTTTCTATTAGAAAAGCTCTTTATTAAAATTCTTATTACTAATCTAATCTAGCTAATTAGTATAGTTTTTTTTCTTTTTTCTTAGTAGTAGTCTTAATAATAGGATTAGAATTATTAGTCTTAAAAGCCTTAATACCTATTTTTTTTATAGTAAAAGTAAGACTTATTACTAAAGACCTTATATTTATAAGTAATTATCTTATTAAAAGTAACTAAAGCCTTTTATATAATATTCTTATAAATAGCCTTAATTAGCTTTTTAGCCTTATTAATATAAGTAGGATCTAATAAAAAGTTATACTATTTTTAGATAGTAATAGTATACTAAGCTAGATAACTAGTAAGAGTATAGCTAATAGGCTTATCTAGTATAAGCTATATAGTAGTAAAAAAGATAGTCTTAGTAAAACTATATATATTAGAAAGGCTAGATAGGATCTTTAGAATATTATAAAGATTATAATAATAAGTAGTAAGATTATTCTAGGTATTACTATTATAAATCTTAAGCTATCTATTATTAGTAGTCTTAATAAACTAAGATAGTAAGATAATATACTTATAAGAAATAGAACTAGAAAATCTATAAGTAAGACTAGAATAGAAAATTATAGTAGTATCTCTATTATAAGAAATATAAGTATACTTAAAGCTAAACTCCTTTTTATCTAACTTAGTAACTAATCTAGAATAATCTATATTAATAATCTTACTAGTTAACTTAGTAGTATAGTCTTTATAAGTAGTTTTATTCTACTATTCTAAATCCTAGTTATATATACCTAAAACTATCTTAGTATAGTAATCTTTATACTTTTAGATAAGTAAGACCTAGTCTTAAATAAGAAAAAAACTAGTACTATTATATAACTTTAATAGATTAATATCTATATAATAGACTAAAGTCTTACTACTAGTAATAGTTTTCTTAATATAGTAGAGATATATAATTAAGATAGTAGCCTTATCTTTATAGAGATAATAGTAAGTAAGATAGTAATATAGATCCTAGTAAATTAACTACTAAAGAATTAAGTAAAAGTAGTTATATAGCTAATCTAAATTAGCTTTAGAAATATAGTATAAAAAGTACTAAGTATAGATCTTAAGTTTTTCTAAGAGAATCTTAGTAAGTAACTATCTATCTCTACTATAAATAGAGTTAAAAAGCTAGTTAAAAATAGTATTATAAGTAGTACTATTTTTTATAAACTATTTATAGGTACTAGAAAAGTAATCTATTATAGCTAACTATTCTTAGAAGAATAACTAGTTATAGGATTTATACTTATAAAGAGAAGTATTAAGCAAGTAAAGCAAGTAGTATATAGTAGTATAAACTAAAGAGACTATTAGAATAACTATTTAAGTTAAATATAGGACCTTCTACTAAGTTCCTACCTACCTATATACTTAATAGATAAGGAGTATAGGCACACTACTCTATATGCTCTATAGTACTCTATTTAAGTAGAGCAATAGAGTAGGATAAAGTATATAGCTTATCTTATAGAGTGCTTTATTCTACTAAGGTATAGGGAATAATAGAGTAGGCTACATAACCCTATTATTAGGTAGGATCGTAATACTATTCCCCTCCTATACTAGTATTATCCTAACGCTAATATATATAATTAGCTACTTCTTTTAATATTCTACTAGGGTAATTTCTATAGCTTTCCTTTACTATGCCTAAGGATAATAATAGTACTAAACATTATAAAAGACTTACTATATATATTAAAGAAAGAGAAACGATAATAGTAAAACCTTATGCTACTTATATAAAGTATGGCCGTATCTACTAGGTCTATATTAGGTCTAAGAAGTATAGTAAATGTCTTTATTATAATTAGCATTATAATATTCGCATATTATAATCTAAATAAAATTGCCTAAAATAAGAGCATAAGCGCCTATACAACACTATTAAGGATACCTATAATGCATAAGAGAAGGCTTATTAAGAAGCGGATTTAGCATAAGAGAGGTAGTAAATAGCCTTTACCTATAAGATGCGTCTTTATTAGTAACTTAATTTATTAGATAAGAAAAAGAAGGAAGCGGTTACTACTAAGTATACTAGCATTAAATAAGAGGCTACTAAGGTAGAGGTCCTCAAGTTTCCTATAGATATACTAGGCCTCTTACTAGGGCTAGATATATAGAATGCTATTAATAGTAGCTTTAACCTTTCCTCTAAGTTCTAGGATCTTAACTTTAGTAGAACTATTATAGTATAGTCTAGTAGTTTATAAGGTGTTCTATTAGTTCCTAGGTATTTTCTAAATGTAGGTAGCCTTTCCATTTTATAAGGTATCGCTAATCTTGTTATTCTAGTATCTTTTTAACTTTAAAGATGTTATCTTCTTTAGTTTAGAAATAGAATATTATCTATAACGGAGTTTCTAGGTTGGCTAGTTCTAGTAACAATATATAGAACATAGGGTATATTCTTATATTATTAGGAAGTTAGAGTTTATAGTTAACTAGTCCTCTAGCTTCTAAAATTAAAAATAGTCTAACTTTAATATAATCTAGTTTTCTTATTATCTATTAAGATCTTAAGTTTTTTATAAGCAAGTATACTTTATCTCCCTTCTTTAGCTAAGGATCTAGTTTTAATTTCTTTCTACTTTCTTATAAACCGTCCTAGGATAATAGTATCCTTTATTATAATTGCTTATATAACTTCTTTAGCTAATTGCTAGTAATTATTACTTTATCTACGTTTAGATATTATAATCCCGGCTCTATAAACATATTTAGGTACTTTCTAAAGTTAGTATAGAATGGCATAACCCCTATTATAGCAGAGATCTATTAATTAAGCACTAGTTATGCTATTAGTAAGTAAGTAACCTAATTGTTCTAAGCATAGTTAATATAATACTATAGGTAAGCCTTAAGTGTCTAATTAGCTCTTTCTATCTAGCTATTAGTCTATAGATAGTAAGCTATTAATAGCTTATGTTTAATACCTATTATAGATATAAGTGTCTTCTAGTAGTTTAATATAAATAATTTATTATAGTCTATTATAAACGACTTTAGTATTCTATAATATTGTATTAGTCTATCTAGTACTAAATATGCTAGTTCTTCTATAGTAATCGATTTTATATAGGGAATAAAGTATATGTACTTTATTAATCTATCGACTATTACTAATATAGAGTTATATTTCTAGTTATAAGCTTAGTCGTCTAGCGATCTCGATCCTTATAATCTAGTAATAAAGTCTATAGTAACTTTATCCTATAGCTATAATAGCGGATCCCTAAATTAGATCTCTCTATACTTTATATATCGAGATAACTTATTTATCTAATAGTTATAGCATTTCTAAACATATATAGTAACCTTTTCTTTTATCTAAGGAAAGTTAAAGTTATATTATATAACTTCTATTATCTTTATAATACTAGGGTATCTATATATTAGGTTATTGTAGTAGTCTCTAATATACTATTCCTAATATCGTTTAGGTACTTAGTATCTATTATATAAGATGGGAAACTCCTCTTAATTATCTCTTATAATTTATAATACGGCATTAAACTCTTATACTTGTATGCTAAGGGTTCTATCTTCGTTTATTTATAAGATGCTATACTATATAGCTTCCTTGCCTTCTATATAATTAATTCTTCTATTAAGCATGTCTGCTCTACTATTATCTTTACCTAGTATATACTAGATTTTGAATTTATATTATCTAAGAAGTTTAGACTAATATACTTATCTATAGTTAAGAACTTTAGTAGTTATAAAGATTAAGAGGTTCTTATAATCTATAAAGATAGTTAATAAGGGTGCTCCTTTAGTATAAACTCTCTAGTGCTATAAGGCTATAACTATAGTAAGAAGTTCTTTATTATAGATATTGTAATTCTATTCTACTAGTGTCATCTTATGCAAATAATACGCTATAGGATATCATTTCCCTTTATAGTCTTATATAAAATATGCTTTAATCGCTTAGTTAGATATATTGGTCTTAATATAGACTAGCTTCCCTAAGTTAAATATTCTTAAAGTAGGTCTGTCGATATATGCCTATTTAAGTACTTTAAAAGCTTTTTGCTACTATTCTTTCTATATAAATAGGGTATCCTTCTTTATAAGCTCTATAAGAGATAACGCTATCTAGAAGTAACCTATAATAAACTTTTAGTTATAGTTTGTAAGTCTAAGGAATAATTATATATCTTTAACTATCTTTAGTATTAGCTATTCTTTAATTAAAGTGATCTTAGAAGGATCGATCTAAATACTATTAACTTTAATAATAAAGCCTAGGAACTTAGTATTCTTTATATAGAATTTATACTTCTTTAGGTTAGCCTTTAAGTTATATTCTTAAAGCTTAGTTAATACTTATTATATGTCCTTAACATATTAGTTTAGGTCTCTATCTATATAGATTAGGATATCGTCTAGGTAGGTAACTACTATCTTATCTAAGTATTCTTTTAGTATATTGTTAATTATTATCTAATAGGTAGCTAGGGCATTAGTAAGTCTAAATAGTATAACTAGGTATTTATAGTGCCTATAGCGTATATAAAAAGCTATCTTCTATTCTTCCCCCTCCTTTATTTATATAAGGTTATAAGCTTTTTTAAGATTGATCTTTAAGAACTACTTAGCCTTTATAAGGCAATCTTATAGTTCTTTAATATTTGGTAATAAGTAATAATTCTTAATAGTAATATTATTTAACTTTTAGTAATCGATATATAGTCTTAAGCTACTATCTTTCTTTAGTATAAATAGAATTAGGTAACTTATAGGGGATTCTAATTTGTAGATAAATCCTTATACTAGATTCTTGTCTAGGTATTCTTAAAGCGTCTTTAGTTCTTTTTTAGATAATATATAGATAGGTCTAAATATAGGTTGCTTTCCTAGTTTAAGTTATATTTTATAATTCTATAGCTAATACCTAGGTAACGTATCTATATTTGCCTTTTCCTAAAATAAGTATATCTATTTACTATATTATTTAGAAATCTTAGAAGGTACATAACTTCCTTTACTAACTCTTGCTTTATAGCTTGTCTAACCTTTAAGATTAGTACCTATAGAGCCGGTATTATAGTTCTCTACTAATACCTTAGTTAAGGTAACTATAACATATGCGGTTATAGCCTAGTTTTACCCTTTTCTCTTATCTACTACTAAACGCTACTAGTACGTAGGTCGTAGACTAACTATATAGTTATATCTTTAAAATCTTAATACTTTTGACCTCTAGTCGATAGTTAGATTATATTATTTTAACTAAGGCATTCCTAAGACAATATAGTAATTAGCTATTTCTATAATATCTAGAATAATGTCTTTATAGTATGATTAAATAATAAGCTCTATTAGTAGAGTCTCTTCTATAACCCTAGGTAAAGCTAATCTATCTATAGCTATTAATTTATACCTATATTCTTTTAATTTAGTAGCGATCCTAAATTAAGTAACTATAGCTATCGATATAAAGTTTCTACTTGCTCTAGAATCTATTATCGCATATAGTTATCTTTTATTAATAGTAACTAGTATATAGAACACTGTTATTAATAATGTAGACGCTAGGGCTTAGATTATATTATATTCTTATTAGCTGCCCTTACTATAAGAACTTACTCTTTTCCTAAAATCTTACTAACTATAGAGTCGAACCTAACTCTATCTTCTAGTCTATGTTCTTTATAGAGATGTCTTTTATATACTATATACTATTATCGTTATACCTATATATACCGAGTTCTTAGTAATTAAATACCTTTTCTTATACTATTAGTAATATGTTCTTTAGTAGGAATAATATATCCTATAGGTATAAAGGTACTACTAAGTAGTACTTACTTAATAATAAAGTTATTAAAAGTATAGTTAGTAACTATAAGTTAGTAACCTTTAAATGTATTATAGATTTAATCTAATATTTTATTAAAGTTATAAGGATATAAGAATCTCTAGTTTCCGATCTTTAGAAATATTTCTTTAGTATTATTAATAATAATACTAAATATCTTTTCTATATATAATAGGACGCATGCATATAAGTCTATAAGGTAGTTATTATAATTATATAAGTATTATAATCCTTTATTATTAGAGGATCCTTTATTACTACTTTCCTTATTATCGTTATCTAGTTCTAAATTGCTCTTAATATCTTTTTCTTTAATTTCTCCTTTTTTAAGATCGTCCTTTCTAGTAATAATATTAATCTTATTATAGCCTTCTCTATTCTTCCTTCTTAGTTAGATAGAGAACTATCTAGATCCTAGTTTGTCGCTATAGTAGGTAAGGTAACTATTATTATAATATGCAGTCTAGCTAAGTAATATATATTTGTTAATAGTAACTTTAATAACTCTATTTAGGTCGTCCTATTTAGCGAATAGTTCCTATAGTTTAGCCTAATCCTCTTAATTAGCCTTCTAGGGTTTATTTAGCTCTATAGGCTTTCTAGGGTCCTTCTAAATAGGCTTCTTAGGTTCCTTATGCATCTAGTTAATATTCCCTAGTTTATATAGCATTATATTAAATTATCTTTAAGGTACCTTATTCTTTAAATAATAATTCCTTACTATATAGCCTTACTTACTATATCTATAGTAAGTTATTAAACTCTTCCCTTTATACTACTTCCTACCCTTTAATTATTAACCTTTAGTAATATCTAGTTCTATTAGCTAAAGTCTATAAGGATCCTAATACTAGTTATTATTATAGTTAAACTTTTTTTCTTTAAAGTTATTATTACTATAGTATAGAACATAACTAGACTTACTATATAGGGCTGTATTATAGTGTCTTTCTATAGTATGTTTATAGAGGTTATTATCAATTTTAATCGATATATAGATAAGATTATTAAGATCTTTGATTTTTATACTAGCTCTTATAAGTTTGTCCTTAATATTCTTTTTTAGACTATGTTAGTATATAGTTATAAGAGTAGAGTTATTCTAATTAGTAATCTAGGCATACTCCTAGAACTTAGTAGTATAATTAGATACTAAAGTATATTAATAGATATACTAAATAAGGCATATAGTAACTTTATCTTTATTAGAGATGCTAAAGATATAGTAGATCTCTTCCTTAAACTTAGTAAAGGTAGTAAGGATACTATTAGTATCTCCCTTACTATTAAGATACTTTATAAGTATTAGTTTTATCTAGTACTAGGCTCTTTTATAAAGGTAGGTTATAGTAAATAAGGTCTTCTTATTAGCTTCGATAGGCGTAAACTAAAAGTATATCTCTATCTAGATAAGCTAATTATTAAGTCCTTAGTAGTCTCTATAGTAGAGATCGGGCTTAGTAACCTTAGTATTATTATAGGTAGTAGTATAGATACTACCGACCTTACTAGGTATACCTTTTAGGGTATTACTTAAGTAACTTATTCTAAGGATATTTAAAGTTGTTATAGCTAACTATTCTTAGGAGAATAACTAGTTATAGGATTTATACTTATAAAGAGAAGTGTTAAGCAAGTAAAGTAAGTAGTATATAGTAGTGTAAACTAAAGGGACTATTAGAATAACTATTTAAGTTAAATATAGGACCTCTTACTAAGTTCCTACCTACCTATATACTTAATAGATAAGGAGTGTAGGCATACTACTCTATATACTCTATAGTGCTTTATTTAAGTAGAGCAATAGAGTAGGATAGAGCATATAGCTTATCTTATAGAGTGCTCTATTTTACTAAGGTATAGGGAATAATAGAGTAGGCTATGTAACCCTATTATTAGGTAGGATCGTAATATAATCTATTATAGTATAGATTTAGATATATTAGAAAAAGAAATAGCTTATAGTTATAATTATATATAATAGACTATCTATAAATAGGTAGTAAAACTAATAAATAGGTTTATTAATAGAATATAGCTTAAAGAGCTATAATTCTATAAATAGATAGATAAAAAGACTTTTCTAGTTAAATAATAGTTAAACTAATAATTAGTAATAAAAGTTATAATAGCTATTATAACTTTAAAATAGAATTACTCTAGTAGTAGCCTAGATCCTAGTTTATAGCTCTAGAATCTAGGATTATCCTTATAATAGATAGACTTAGTAATAGATTATAGATTAGGACTATAATACTATATAAGCTAAAAAGTTATCTATTAGTAAAAAGACCTTTTAGCTAGTAACTTACTAATTAAATTAGTAGAGCTACTTAATTATAATATTAGTTTTTATCTATACTTTACTATTATACTACTAGTAGTAGCTAAGTAAGTTAATATTAATATTAGTAGTACTAAAAACTTAAGGCTTTTTATACTTACTAATAAACTAGAAAGATAGCTTATAGCTACTATCTATATTATAGTAAAAGTAAATAGTAATTTAGGCCTTTTTAAGCTTTACTAGATTAAAGTAAGGAAAATATAACTTTTAGGTTCTATAATATCTAGGATATCTATAAAGATCAAAAAAGTTAAGTATGTTTATACGGTCAACATATAGATCTGCCCTATATCCTAGAATACATTGATAATTCATAGCCTCTAATCCCATATGGGACGCATGTAAGGAACAGAAGAGTTAGGCATACCTGTACGGTCAACATATCTTCTTAGGACATGATAATTTTTGTTGAGTCTTATTTATTGATAGCTCACTCACTATGTATCTTCACTAAACTTCCTTCCTCCTTTCTCTCTTTCTCATGGCATTACCGCCCTTTCCACTTGATTCAAGTCTCTTTCGTCACACGCTCTCCTCATTACACACTCCTCTCCTTCTTACAGCCTCTGTCTTCTTTCCGCTCTTACACCCACTCACGCCTACATCATGGATCCTCTCGATCCCTTTGATCCACGAAGCATCGCACGTCATAACACTGCGCAGACTTCAGGACAGCGCTTGCAGCGTGAGCAAGAGTGGGGGGTACGTCTGAACTCTCACTTGTCAGACGATCAGCTTCACCACTGGATCACTGTGGCTGAGGAACTGCTTGCTCATGGTTTTGATGGCAACTGGGGTCAGACACAGAGACTGGCAAGATCCATACGTACAGCCCTTCTCACCACTCGGTCAGTACGCTCACATCGTTTCACATCTACCTCATCACTGACTATACAAAGTGGCCTCGAAATCGAACCTTCACCTGTAAATCCACCCTTGGGTCCTCTCATGCAAGCCTTGCGCAACACTTCACAGCCTGCTCAGCCTGCACCATCACCGCTTATTCAGTCGCTCGTCAACGCACGCGACTTCCAACCTTCAGCGGCAGCCAATCAGGCTCAGCAGAACGCCGAAGAATCTCAAGCTCCAGCCGGACAAGCTTCTCAACACGCCGAAGAGACTCAAGCTCCAGCCGGAGAATCTGATCAGCGCGCTCAGCAGCCTCAAGAGAACGCCGAAGACTCTCAATCTCCAGCCGATGAATCGCCTCATCACGCTCAGCAGCCTCGAACTACAGCCGAAGAATCTCATCAGCACGCTCAGCAATCTCCTGGACATGATGAGGAGCCTGATCAGGACGTTCATCAATCTCCTAGACACATCAACGAGTCTCCTAAACATGATGAGGAGCCTGATTATGACGTTCAGCAATCTCCTGGACACGCCCACGGGTCCTCTAACGTGTCCGATGACGATGGTCACGCCCTGGATTTCGTACGTGGCACGAAACGCACAAGACGAATCCTCTCCGACTCTGAATCTGGTTCTACTACTCCCAATGATGCAGAGAATGTCTCCTCTGTTGCTTCACATTCAGGTCCTACGAACGCAGCGCAATCAGTTCCACCAAGTTCGACAGCTCCTGCCGTTGTGACTCGCGCAGATCCAATTGCAACCACGGCTGTTCCTTCTCAAGCTACAATTGCTCCTATCATCACTTTCGGATCTGCTGCACCTACAAACTCAGTTGTGTCAAACAAGTCAATTAACCGTCGTACCGCTAATGACTATGCCGGCACAAATGGTGGTATGGTATACTCATGTCCAGTCCATGAATGCAAACAACCAATTAACGAAGCATGGACAATCGACAAGTTCTATAAGCACTTGGACGACTCCCTTCATACCGACTACTTCTTTCAAAAGGACATGCATATATGTCCATTTGGATGTCAAAAGGGTTTCTTAAACGACTTTGCTCTTCATCGCCATATTCAGCAGTCTTCTTGTAAAGAGAGCGAAGATCTCTCTGCCGAGATTAAGACATGCAAGCAGTGCAATGTTGGAACTAAATTCCCGGACATTATTGGCGCGCTTGATCATTTGGCCGATGACCACGACAATCTGACGTCTCGTATCGGCTCTCCTTACGTCTGTGTTCAATGTGATGTGGGCTTCCCTACGAAGGAGCTTCTTTGGGGTCATCTTGCGCTTGTAAGTCAACGCAGTGATGGACACCCAGCTGTTACTAAGGCGCGCAATATGTGGTACCCTGCGCCTGACATTGTACGTTCTTAGCCGGCGTCTTTATGCGATGGTAGGAGGATTAGCGTGACTTCTACAAGCAGCAGAGAAGAAGAGATATACCACCTATGGTGGTAATACGAAAATTGCGTACATAGCCTGTGTCATTGCTCTAGCTCTAAGGAAAAAATGAGACAGACTTGCCTTTATCAAACCATCCCTTGCAATTACATGAACAAAATATTGCCTTTTTAATCAAGAGAATATTTATGATAACTATTGCCTTTTTACATTTGAGAACTTAAAAAACATTCTCCCCATAGTTCTTTATATGTTGACCGTAGATGAGCAACTTGGTGGGAAACGTTGTATGATGCGACTGGGCTAGAAGAGTATAGAAACTGAATGTACGATTTGTAGGGAAACAAGATGTACAGCTTGAGCTTAGAAAAGTGGAGGTAAGGACAAGAGCAGAATATAAACACAGGAAGGATATAGGATGGAGAAGGAGATGATGCTGGTGTAAGGACAAGAACAGAATATAGACACAGGATGGAGAAGGATGGAGAAGGAGATGATGCTGGTGTAAGG